GTAAGGGGAGCTACCTAACTCTACCAAAGCCCCCCGGACGAAGTGTAGTGCAGCTTGGTATAAGCTTGGGTCGAGGGTCATCGTCTTCGTCATCAACCGCGAATGCCCGGCACCTGGCAACTAGCACCCAGCATCACCACACCATCTTATTTTTCTCTTCTTCTTGAACTTCTTCTTGAACTTCTTCTTGAAGTACACTTTAAGGCCGTAAGGGGTCCTTTGCTCTACTCTTCCATGCCGCCGCGCGCCGCCTCCTTCGTCTTCGCCATCCGCCCCGTCTGGCTGCTTTCCTTTTGGTCTGGAATTTTGAATTGCCTTATAATGGGGTAGAGGGTGGGCGAAGAAAGGTAAAAGGGGGACGGTGTGGCCGCCGGTTTACGGAGAGTGTCTAAGAGACGCACGAGCACACACCATTGAGTATCTACTGCGATAAGGCATATACGGAGTATAATTTCAAGACTTGACGACACATTTGGGGATGGGGACGGGACGGGAGGCGGGTTGTCGGTTTGGTTTGGGTGTGGTGGCGCGAGCTTTTGGAATACGAGCGGGTGGCGTTACCTATGCCATTCACTTGGACCTGCCACTCGAGACGAGAAGCAAAAGGTACCAGAAACACTAGATTGACAGTTCAGTCATTCGAAGCTTGGCGTGTATAGGCATTCTCCAAGGGCAAACGCAGGTGAAGGGGATGAATCGATGGTGAAGAAGCTGTTGGAGTGATCGTCGACAAGGATGGCAGGTCCTTGGGCAGAAAGGGCTTACTTACAGTACACAGTAACCACGCACAGGCGGAGGGCGAGCTAAGCTCATGGGGTGGGTGTTGCGCTGCCGCTGCCGCCCCGAACTTGCACATACACACAGACAAATTGCCCAAGTTGTGAAGTACACTACATACTACACAGTGGTGTTTGGTGTTATTGGTGATGGTGGAGGTAGGATCCGGTGCCGGGGGCCTTCATTGCTAGCTACTTCGTGATATTGGTAAGGATCATGTCCTTTCATCCCGTCTGAAGACGATGCTGGTGTGTCTTGCTGCTTCCTCCCCTCCCCGATTCTCAAACACGTCGCAGGATTGGTATGCCCTGCCCTGCCCGCAGCCCAGGTGTTACCTCCCCCGCTCCCTTCTTCAGACCAACGAATGATGTGAGTTGTGATATGTTTACTACGCAGTCGTTATATTAGCCATTCTTTGCAACGTGACCTAGGACCTTGCTGGATGCAGGAACATCCTCCAACATGGACCGGATTCGAGGACTCCGTCAAAGGGCCCCTTTCATTTCCAACGAACAAAGGGCGGAGCAAAAACTTGGACTGCTGGTGGAGGAGAGGAGGGGGGTTCAGTGTGCCATTGCTTCGCCTCACCCAAAGCCGGAGATTTCGGGAGGACGATGCGATCTCGCTCCTTACAACATCTCCGTATACACGTGTACTTTGTTTTGGAGGGCTTTAGATTAGATGAGAAGGGAGTCATATCGGGATCAGAGAAAAAGAGAATAAGATAGAATTGGGTGTTGTGTGGAGTGGCGACGTGATGTTTCATTCAGATTGCGTTTGTCTTTCTTGTTGTTTTTTGCCCAGGTTTATATGTACGGATACACTAACACGCCGCACGCTTACACGGCGCTGTGCGCTCTCTTTCGCAATCGCCTCTGCCCACCGACTGCGGAAGGGATCGCGCTTTGGACATTTCCATGGACATCGCTCACGTCCTCCCGGGAATAAAAAATGTCTATTATCTGCGTAGACCACCTATCACGGGTGGAGTGGAGTAGGCAGATCAGAGTTCACCTTGACCATTGGAAAGGGGAGGAGGGGGGGCTGAATTGGCAGCTGGTGTGTCTGTGTGTAAAATAGCTTTCATTGGAGACGTCGAATTCGGGCTCCAAGGTTTGTGTGAGTTAACTTGGGATCGTTGTGAACTATATATGGGTGGTGTTGGGCTTCTTGGGACGAATATTGATTAAGTAAGTACACACGCCAGTGGTAAGCATGCGTAGGAGAGCACGGTTGGAACAAGTCACCTCATAGAGAGGCATGGATACCAACCTCTCTCTCCGTCTGCTTCCCCGAGCGAAGCCGAAACCGATGAGTTGATTGGGGAGATAGTTTGCACTGATGAGACATGCAAGAAGCTGAAGAAAAACTGTACTTGCTTTGCTTGGGGAGATGCTGTCACACCAGAGATTCAGCAGCGGGAGGGCGCATGCTACGCTGTCAGGTATCTGCAGTTTGTAAAGTGGCCGTCCGCCCTTGACTCTATATCAATCATACCCCATACCAGGTAGGAGAGCATCTCAGTGTAAGGCGGACTGTTGCAACGGGTGATGGATGGGTGGCTTCACATTGAACGTCGGACGATTTGTCAGGCTGGGGGCGGAGGCGGGTTAGGTGAAATGGAGTAGCAGCGAATGAAAGGCAAATATGCTGGACCTCTTTCCCAAACTAGAGGATATATGACAAGACGGAATATAGATGGGAAGGGCACAAGGGATGTGTTTTCGCTTCCCGTGACGGGACTATGGTGCGGCGGGATCGTCCCAGTATGAGACTCAGCTAAGGTATTGTACAGCCCCAGCTGTGTGACAACAGTAGAAACATCCTAGCCCCTGAAGAGGCAGGCTTGTGATCAATATTATAGCCTGTAGGTTTGGGGAATGGAGTGAAGCCGGTATCAGATGCTGTACTGTGTAAGCCAAGAGGTCAGGTGTGGGTGAGCGAGAGTGAATGAGACAAGATATTCAGATATCCGCTTGCACGTCTGAGATACGCTGGTTTGCCATGGTATGACCTCGGAATTGGTTGTAGTACTCTGGATAAGTTTCACCCATGCGGACTTTTTGTTTTGACGAGCTCCTGGTATCAATCTATCTGTTTGCGTACGACCATTAACAACTACTTCCAAGTAGCTGTAGCCCAGCCCTTTCTTGGAACACAGCTGTGTGTCTGAGGCCCAGCCAGCCAACGATTGTCCTCCGATGTCCGCTTTCCCTTTGTGTCGTCTGTGTTGTCCATCCTGTGTTTCTGGCCGCATGGCTACTCTGGTTTCTTTGAGCAGGGTATATCCCAAATCCTTCTCGCGTCCTGTTTCGTCGTGACGTTGTCGTGTTGCTGTCCAAGTCCATGTGTTCGCATACAAGGCGGGGCCTGACGATGCAAGTGCCAAGGGAAGATGACTGGAGATGCTGATGAGCGAGTAAGTCAAACACCTGACTTCAGCCTGCTCCCAAATGCAAAGTGGTACGATGACGGTGAAGAAGCTACGGCTATACGTCGTGATACTTGCTGCCCGACTGCTAAGGCGCAGTGTCGGCGACTCGGGCACCCCATCTTGGCAACTCCGAAGAAACTTCGCAGACCTGAAGACGCCTTACAGTCCCGATGATCGAATTCATCTCGTCTTTTACACTTCGGTACTCGGAGATGTAAGCAGAAAGCATGGAGGGGAAGAAAGGTGAACAGAGCCTCTCTCACGCCCCGTTATCCCCCTCCCCCATCGCCGCCTCCGGAACGGAGCCCTCTGGGTCGGGATGCTGACTCGGATCGTGGCCCCCCTGCTGGGCGAGGAACTCGGCGTACTCGGCGCTAGCTAATGCTAGCTGCCGCGCCGCCGTTTCGATCCGGAGCTGGAATCGAACGTGGGGGTTATCGCTCCGTGCCTCCGCCATGGCTCTGTCCAGCACATCTTTCACGAATTGGCCAATGGTCGGATCGGCGCCTGGCTGCCCGAAGCTGGGGCCTGCGGGGGCCATGCCGGGAGCCATCGGCGCTGTGCCGGCAAAGCTTGTGTTCGCCGACACCTGTGGCACAGGCTGCAGCTGTATGGCTGGCATGTGCTGAGGTAGGTTGTTCTCTATGTATGGCCCTGTTAGTCACCCAACACCTTGACATCTGGTCGAGTTTGTGGGCCATTTTTTGCTTACCGTGGAAAGAACAGCGTGAGCCGCTCGCGTTGAACCAACAGTTGGCGCAGCTACCACACATCTGTCCACTGACGACCACACATCCATTCCAGGGTCCGTATCCTTTATGGCAACTCTTGCAGGGACTATGAGCTTCCTGTCCCGATACGTGGGCCAGTAGTGCCTCGACATTGCTCCTTCTCTTGAGGTTCAGAGTTTGATCCTGGCGGCGCTGTACTGCGAGTCGCTCTCCTTCATTGTTGGCCAGTCGCTTGGCGAGGGCACTGTCGATGAGTAGCTGGCCGTATCCACTCTCGGAGGCGAGGTCTTCAGCCGTCCTCGACATGCCGCCGGGACCATGGCCGCCCATCTGAGCTTCCATGGCGAACTGGGCCGGTAGGCTGTGCAGGTCGGGATGGATATCGGGGTCAGCACCGGGTACTGTGCCGGGAGGACCGTTGGCTAGGATGCCTGCGGCGGCTAGGTCGAAGGGGTGCGGGTGGTGTTGCTGCTGGTGATGATGTTGGTGATGTTGGGGAGGGGCGGTTATCTCGTCGTCATCTTCGTGTTCGGCCTCGGCCTCCGCATCGTGGGCGAGCTGCTCGAGCTGGTCGGCTGCCACGGAGGAGTGTCGGCTGGCGCGGCCGTGGGCGTCCCTCTTGAGGCCGGCTGTGGGCTTCGTCACCTTGTTTGGGCGGCCTCGAGGAGGTGGTCGGCTTCCGCCTCGGGCACTCATGGGGTAATCGAAGAGGGCGCTGCCTCTTTTGCGATGGTGGACTGTGAGGGAGCTCTAGCTAGTCGGCGATGATAAGTGGCGTTGAGAGTGGGCAGCTGGTGTCAGCTGCAAAGAGTGTGTGATGAGGAGTTTGGGGGCTCGAAAGAGCTGGTGTTGATTGAGCGGGAAGAAGCTGCTGATTGCTGTTGGGTCCCACTCACAATTTGGGTGCTTCCATTGTGGTGCAAGTTGGAGTGGGAGCTCGGGCCAGAAGTTCTCCGCCTAACCTTTGCCGAGTATTATGTAATCGGTATCAAGAAGCCTGAAAGTGAGAGGATAAGATACGGTAAGGTATTAGAAGGTGCCATGTCACCAATCATGTCACTTACTTCACCTTGATGATCATGACTTTCATGTGACAGTCGACGTTCTCATGTCAAAGACTGGAGATGTCGGGCAAAGAGTCTTTCTCTATACTGCTTTGGCAGTGCTGGTTTCCCTGCATTACCTACATCTCTCACGCTTACCTTGGCTGAGCCAAGACATCCCTTGGAACGTAAGGGAAGAACCTTTCAAGTACCTACCTACCTAGGAGGGGCCAGGAAATAAGAAACATGCGCAGCAACGAGGAGAGCCAACCTTGACCATCTATAAATCTTCTGGTTTGGAAAAGCTTTTTGAATCTTGATCTAACCGCAGGTCCGGTCATTCTCAGCATGATCTTCCAGTCATTCACCTCGACACGATGAACCTCACGACTCAGCTGTGGGAGGGTTCTCCCAGACATCGCCTCCACCCTCGGCCTCCGTCATCTCCTTCCACCTCTGAGCGAACTCCCTCAAACCACCGTCGCCTGACATACTGGCCTCAACGACCTCCTTGGGAAGCTTGTGCGCCGAGTACTGCGGTGTGCTGAAGTTGAAGGCGGCCGGGTTATCTTTCTCCACCAACCTCAACTCAGGCACCAGTTCATCAACGTCTTCATCGTCTGTCGTTTCTTCAACACCACTGCCTTCAAAATGCTCTTCCTCCTTGACACCTGGGCCTATCCGAACGACCTCTTCCTTGTTGATGACTGAGCCTAGGATAGGCCCCGGGACCTTGAACTCCAGCAACTCCACCCAGCTGTAGAGCAGACTATCTGTCCGAGGCGCCCAAGGGTTAATATCGATAAGGCGCACCTTGCCAAGCTCATCGCGTGAGTCGCTGTCACCAGGGACGTAGACGTCAAAAGTGAAGGAGCCGTCTGGGAAGGTGAAGCGCAGACGGTCTTCGAAGAAATCGGTGATCTTGGATACCAAGGCGGGCCGTAAGCCATCGAGGAAGGGGTAGTAGTTCCAGTCACGCTGGCAAAGACCAATCAGAGTGCGGTGTTTGACGAAGCACCGGAACTCGAGGGCCGGGTTTGGCGAGAAGAAGGGTCTCAAGACCAAAACTGGTTGGAAAGGCCTGTTGGAGGAGGAGGGAACGGTATCCTCAAAGGCGTGCTCCAGGTCATGACTGACGAAGCTAGAGCTCTTGAGCAAGAGGTAAATGTCGTTAGGCGTCGTGCATTTCAGCGTATTCTGATGCGGTGAAATCCAGGCCGCATCTTTCGGTGCGGACCAGTTCAGCTTTGGCGCAACGGCACCACCCAGCTCCTTGATCCTCTCCTTGATCTCATGGTGGATTTCAGGGAATCGCTCGTTGGGCGGCCGGCAATCAGCTTCAGGCTCGTCGTCGGAGTCATCTTCTTCGAGATGTTGGTTTCGTCGCGGTGCACCTGCTGTATTCGAGGAAGCAGACCACTCCTCCTCTGCTTCGTCCTCCTGCGGCTCATCGTCGTCGGCGAGAATGATGCCGTCGTCGCGTATGTATTGGACAAAGTCAGGTGATAGCTTGATGATCCTAGATCTGATTGACACAGTCCGGTACTTTGTGAACCAACTATCGTATGAGCAGTTCAAGATATGCTCCTTCGTGACTGGCGGAAAAGTGAGTTCCTCGGTCTCTTGGGCAGTTGCATTGTTGATGGCGTCCAGGGTTGGCTGCCCCTCAGTGAGACCTTCAAGAGATGGCATCGTCGAGAATGGAAGCTAGTCTTGGCTGAAGTGTCTCAACGGAAATTTCAGATGTTTTAGTCGGATTTTTGAGTGAGTTTGAGTCCCGAGGTTCTGGCAAAAGTGTGTGATGGAATGAAATTCGCTCTGTTCCTCACTTACATCGATGAGTCTTCTCGCGCTGAGTGAGTCTTCCCATCGCCCAAAGCAGAAAGTACCCCACTATCCCACCCGTCATAACTTTTCTGCCGGCCCCCATCTCTCTATCCACCTTCACCGCCTTTCAAGGCCCAACTGAACCTTGGAACTTCGTCCGTGGTACCACTGCCAAGGGTCCAGTCTCGGTGACGTCTCTTGCAGATCCAAAGTACCGAGATACATCTTGATTTTCCCAACAACACCGACTCGAGGGATCAACATAAACAGCGCATTGATTGTTTCCTCTGATTTGAGACGACACGCACCGCACCATTTCAGTAACAATGTCTGACAACGTCGGTCTCTCAACGCCTCGTGGCAGCGGTACTTCGGGCTATGTTCAACGCAACCTTGCGCATATGCGCCCACGCGACTACGGCGCGCCCTATCCTCCCAAAGACGCCGACTCGCTCCGCCACAAACAGCGACAGCCCGATAAAGAGATCTTAGAGCATGACCGCAAGCGCGAGGTCGAGGTAAAGGTCCTCGACCTGCGCGATACCCTCGAAGACGGAGGGTAAGCCTATCCCCCTCCCCAGTCCCTGGCCATGCAAGGATACTAATGATGCTCTAGCCTCGACGAGGAAGAAGTTGAGAAGCGATGCGACGAAATGCGTAAGAAACTACTGGCCGAGCTCGAGAAACAAAAGAATAGCCGTGGCGGCGGCGGCGGTGGTCCCGTACGGAAGCACTTCAAGAGCCATCAAGTGCACGAGATGGCAGATGCCAAGATCAAGGAAAGCGAGAGACTACGGAGCGCTTTGAGGATAAGCAAGGACTACGAGGAGGGAAGTCATTGGAGGAGACAGGAGGAGAGACTTCGGGGCTCTCTGGAGAAGGAGACCAAGAGGCGAGACGTCGACTGAAGCACCGATTGCCCAGTAGAGCTCTTGTCACGAGACACGGCGTCAGGATTTGGGTATGGAATAGCAGGGAGTGGGCGTTCAGGCGTTTGGATCGGATGGCAATCAAATACAGATACGCTGCCGGGGCATTCTTTTCTGAGCCAACGGTACCGATGCCGACATCATGGACTCGACAGCCGGGTCCGGTTTCAAATTATTGTTGGTACATGTGCGGAGATTCCTTCCGGCGTCTAGTAATACACAGTTTGCATGCCGTCTTTCAAGTCATTATTTCTTTCCTGATGGCGGCACCCAAGCTTCAGGCTGCCAGCCCTCGCTTGGTCCACTGGCTTTCGCCCAAGGGTCCTTGCCATATTTCTTCTTCGCATCAGTCGCAGGTTTAGCCTCCTCCTTTGGCGGTTCTGTCGTCTTCGCATTCGTATTTGCCGCTTCCAGCTCTAGCGCTGTGGGCTGTGACTGCGCAGTGTTCATAGACGGCAGAGGTTGACCGGTCTGTTGACCTGGGGCATCGGTAAGCCTAGGCTTTGCCTCCCATCTCGCGTCGGCCTGCGCGGACAAGACTTTCATCCGCTCCTGTCGGAATGCCTCTCTTGTTTGTTCCTCGAGTGTCGGGGGGTCTTCTCTGGTGTAGCGCAGCCATTGATGCCACAGCGGCGACACCTTCACGTCGGAGAGGTAGGTTGATCGGGGATAGTTGACGATGCGGCGGAAGCGGCCGGGACCGTTTCCACGGGACTCTCGAAACTCCCAGAAAGTGTAGCCCTGCAGGTCACGGCCTAGAACCGAGCGTGTTAGTTTTCCACGGTCATTGACAAAGGGAACCGATGTGCCGGGGATGGGGACAGGAACATGCCGACGAGGAAGCGTTTGCGCCATGGCAGTCTGAGCGACTTCCACTTGTACCACGCCTCCAAAATTGGTGATATCCGTGTCGAAGACATTTGCGCTGTTTGGAATGGGGGGTTGGGAAAAGAAATGTCTTCGATCAGGAACCCATGGCTTCTAGGTGCGAAAGTCGCCAAGTTCTAGAAAAGTAATGAGGTCAACCTTGGATTGCACAGCCACTTGAAATTTGGCCGAGGAATGGCGTATCTTATCATCAGCCACATATTTCTTCACACCTACGAATAGGTACAAGGGAACCCACGACTGAGCGTTCGCAGAATCAGAGTTGCATTGGCCCCGCCAGCCACCACCGCACACGTCACTCCGCAAGACCGCGGCGGTCCAGCCGGACCCTGGGTCCTGTCACCTTATCCAGGTTCCCGCCAGCGGCGCCTGGCTCTAGATGCATAAACAATTAAAACTTCCCCACCACGACCGTTCTTCGTCGGGCCTTCCAATCACTTCAACCTGCCACCCGACTGCCTTGATTCCCCCGCAAAACATTGACTTCACACCTGTTTTCACCTCCCAAAGATTGGAGACACGCGAACGAGTAAACATCTATATCACCTGAAGAAAGTCCCGCGCAACGCGCGCCGAACGATAGAGACTTGCTTGCATTCGTCACTTGCACTCCGTCATAGCCGGACCCCGCCGACGTCAGCGCCTAACCGCCGCCTTACTGAAACGCCCTCGCGAAACCAACCTCGAAGCTCCTATTCCCGCAAGAACCGACTTGGTCCCGCGATACGAAAGCCTCAATCAATCAATCGCTAGTCAACGAAGCCATCATGGCGTCAGTATCGTCCTTAGACAAGGATCTGCGCAAATTGCGCCTCGACAAGTACACCCCGGCTGCTGCAAAGGAAGTCAGTAGTTGGATCGAAGGAGTCTTGGGGGAAAGACTACCAGCAGGCGACCTGCTAGAGGGACTCAAGGATGGCGTTGCGCTCTGCAAGTGCGTCAATCAACATCTCACGCAGCTACCAATACTGACCCCGATATCTTAGGTTGATCAACCTCGCGATACCACCACCAGGCGTCAAATTCAAAAAGTCGGCCATGCCATTTGTTCAGATGGAAAATATCTCTCACTTTCTACGCGCCTGCAAACAACCCCCTCTCAACCTCCAAGACCACGATGTCTTCCTGACCGTCGACTTATTTGAGCAAAAGGACCCTGCCCAAGTGCTGCAATGCCTTGGCGCTTTCAGTCGAGCCGCCAACGCAGCGAACCCAGCCAAATTTCCGTCAGCAATCGGGAGCCGGAGCCGAGGAGGAGTGATGAGCCCTCAAGGAACTGGTCGCGGAACCCCATCGCCGACGAGATCGCGCGGGTTCTCCAATGCATCAGGCTTCGGCTCGCCTCGGCCTACCCTTACCAGCGCCAAGACCGGAGACTCCGGCTCGGGTCGATGGAGCCCGACTAAGCCAACTTCCCCGGTTACCAGCTGGAGCAGAAAGGAACACGAGGGCGCCACATCCCCCGCTTGGAACATTGCTCAGTACGGCTACATGGGCGGCGCTAGCCAAGGAAACCTAGGAATCTCATTTGGAAGTCGGAGGCAGATCACAAGTGCGGGTCCTGCAGTGCCTAGCCTGGCCGAGAAGGAGCGCGTGCGGAAGGAGAAAGAACTCGAGGAGGAGTATCAGAGGCAACAGCAACAGCAAGAGGACGCAGAGAGACGTAAGAAAGTAGAGCTCGAACGCGAGGCTATGCGAAAACAAGAAGAAGAGGAGCAACGACTGCTGAAAGTAAGGCAAGCGGAAGAGGAAGCGCAGGCAGAGAAGCTCGAGTGGGACAGGCAGGAAAAGGAATGGCGAGCGAAAGACGATGATCGCCGCAAGAAGGAAGCTGAAGCTCAAGCTCGCTTGAACGAGGAACAAAGCCGTCTGAGGAGCAAAAGTGACGCACGACTGAGAGGTCAGTTTCTCAGCCAATACAAGTCTGAGCAAAGCATCAAAACACAGAAGACTGGAGCCGATCGGATTGCCGAGCTGGAGAGGGAGCTCGAAGAGGCGAGAGAGCGCGAAAGGCAATATGAAGTTGAACGCCAGGGACGGACGGGCAGGACACTGGCCGTCACCAACGATCCCAAGGAACGTATTCGGTCTAGGAGCCGGCCTTCCGACGGAACCCCTAGTCGTCAAGATTCGTGGTCCAGAAATGAGCGCGAGGTTCTCCAGACTGCATGGCCACAGCATCAAGACTCGCATCAGGATGAAGAGCCCCCCGCGCCGCCTCCCAGATCCCCGAGACCTCTCCCTGACCCGATGGCGGTTGCTTCACCTCCTCAAAAGGTTGTAGCGCACACGACGGGTGGCCGGCCCCTCCCGGATCCTGCCGCTTATCAAGCGGCTGCGCGGGCCCCACCTAGCCGAACTGACAGATATCTCAACAACAACGCGGCTCCTGCGCCATTAGTCGCCAAGCAGACTTACTCACGCGAGCTTGGTGCTACTTCCGAGCAAGATGGCGAGGACCGCCGGCGCGCTCAAAGCCAGAATAAGACTAAGGCGGGTGGTTGGGCATCAAAGTCGCTGCTTGAGCGAGAGATGGAGATGGAACGTGAACGCCAGCGTGAGTGGGAGGAGTCTCAAAAGGAGACAGCCAAGGCGGTCCCGAGCGGCAACGGAGTTGACGGTATTGGCGGTGGCATTGGAGGCCGCTGGGATGTGAGCCAATGGGCGGGATATACTGGCGGAGACAACCAGAACCGGGGTGCTCAGGGCATCGGGGCGGGTCGTAGGCAGATTGTCGGGCCCAGGCCGTTGCCCAATCCTCCACGATAAGAGGTTTTGTCAAATAGAAGGTGGTCTTTACTGTTTCCTGAGCGTAGACAGGCGCCTAATCCGCATGAACCGGGCCTAGGGCGGTTATGCATGATAGGAGTATTGGCCTGGCAATTACCGATCTTGTAATGAAGAGAACATGCACATAAACCTAACTGGTACCGATCTACTAAATGTGTACCCTATGTGGCTTGACTGAAGAGTTTAAATGAACCATATTCTGTGAATTACGAGTCTGTTTTACCTTTATTCTCGTTCTATACCTTTTCAACACCGGGTACCTGGTAACCCCCAGTTTCTTGTGTCTTCTGAGATTAACAGACTGATGGAGCTTCCTCTCAGTCCTGTTGAAATCAGATTTGTAGGAGTTCTCGCGCGTAGCGTAGCGAAGCATCGAGCCTTACTATTCCATTCGGTCTACTGTAAGCCAGACTTTGAGCGGGATCTCGCCCTCTGCAAAGGGATTCCTCAAACACAGAAGGAAGAGAACAGATATGAGCTGAGGTCCGTCCTGCTGCTGAACCTCGAAGGCTAGCTTTTGATTATGCAAAGATCAACGTAGACATGTATTAGGACTTTGAGAAAAGTTGTCTCGTAAAAATAAACTCGAAGCCTGTCACTTTAGCTGGTGATGAAGCTAATTTCACTTCCCTCGTGGCAGACAGCCATGAGACCCCCCAAAGCCGCATGAGTTCTAAAGGCCGTCGGCCACCCCTTATAGGCCCCAAATGATGTGAAGTTCAGGTTAAGAAAGGTTTGTAGGCAGTACAGTTGGCATCGTGTATGTGTTATTGTTTTCCTTTAGCAAATTCACTGCTGAGGAGAATGATAGAAATTGTCTGCAAAGGACTTGTAGGTTCGTAATCGCCATTCGAAACTACCAATCGGAATCTGGCCAAGCTCCTGGTATCTTCAACGGCCGTTTTTCCCTCTTTAGATATCCAGATCGACAGAGCTTTTTCATCTGCTTTCTGTTGAACCTCTCCTGCATGAGTTTCTTGGCGTATAGGAAACTTGCAGGAGGGTCGCCTGGGGGCCGTCGATTGTTCCAATTAAAAGGGTCCCGCCCGGCTGCATCATAATCCCGTATAAAGTTGAGAACAAATGGCCGTTCCTCGTCGTTCTCTTCAGAGAGTTGGCAAGATTTCATCGCAACGTGCTGCTGGCAATGCGCGTTCTCTACATCTAGCACGAAGCTTGATAGCTCGAGCCAAACGTCGCCTTTGAGAAGCGGGCCAAAGTTTTTGAACTCGTTTCTGACTTCGTATGCTCTGCTGCATGGGTTGACATATCGGTGCGGCACAGGGACGTCAAACCCAGCAATCCTTGTTGTAACTGCTATTGTAGGCCATGCCCTGGGCTTGTTAAGAGGGTGTATCTAATCGACGTATTGCTGGAAACCGGGTTCTTCGCGTTGGAGATACCTGGCAACATCAACTCGAGCTGCCAGCAAGATCCTTACCCAGTGGGAAAGGGCAGCGTCGACTATATAGTGGCAGGGCGAGCTGCGAATAATCAAGCAAAGCACAGTTTCATGCCTTTGATTGCGGTTAAATACATAGTAAGTCTGGATGTTGCAGATCCTGTGAATATCCATACCTTCGTCAATCAACTCGACAAAAAGGCGAGTCCAATCTTTTGTTCGCCGATCTTCTCGACACCAGAAAGGATCTTGGTGGGCCTGCATTACCAAAAGGCGAACTGCCATGTCCTAAACAGCATTGAAGAAAGCTTTTTTCTCCATTTCATCCAGGGCCGGCACTCTGCACCGATTGTACAAGACAACCAGAGACTCTAGATCATGATCACAGCTGGCCAGTAGCATAAATCTCATAGGCTTGGATACTTGTGTAAGTTGGACAACTTCATCCGTTTCAAGAAGACGGCGCCGGTTATTAGAAGACATATCAACCATCAGCCCGGCCCAGTGATCCGGCCTACAGATGCTAGCCGTTCTGTTAGCCCGCATACTTGAAAAGGATACCTTGTAAATGTACGTCCTTACTTTTCATCTAGGCATAACTCAAGATTTTGTTGGGCGAGGAAGCGGCAAAGAGACGGCTGGCTGCAAACGGCTGCCGACTGTGGTCGACAAGAAATTAGCCCTCTCAAATTTTCCATTGAGTACTGAACGTTAGATACTACCTCAAAGAGCGTCCTATCCCCAAGCGTGGTGCCTAAAGTGATTGTTCTGGTGGACAGTAAGTCTTGCAGTGCTGGCAAGTCTCTATAGGACATAATTCTCAACATCTTATCCACTAGCTTTCTGTCTTTATCTGCATATAGCACATGACGGACAACGAGGGCATAGACCATAGGACTCAACGTGCTCATAGACCAATGCAGTTCTATCCTGTAGGAAAAGCTGCTGTGTCCGAGAGTATAAGTCTTGATCTCGCTTGTACTGGACACCTCCTGTGTACTCTGAGAGCGAGACTTCTTGACTACTGTCCTGGTTTGGTTCTGAAATCGAAAGCCGAATGCTTTGACCATTTTCTGATCGCTTGTTTTCGCCATTGTTGTATGTCTTGGCTCGGAATATAGGTCGCCGTTGCGATCTTGTTGAAGAGCAGGCTGCATGTGCATAAAGCTCGGGTTCAACAACTCAGATGCTTCGCTCTTGTGTTTATGGTCAGCTGCTGGACAATGTTACATCTGGAGCTATTTACAGAGTCAGTGTGGGACTTTCAGGAGTAGAACTCGGAAGGCGCACAGGATCTCTGCAGTCATCATATGCTGCAGGTAAGTCAGATCATCGTCCAGCCACTTGCTCAACAGAGATATATCATCTTTGCATTCCAGAAATGTGAATCCCACGGTGTTGAACGGACGTCTCTTTCCACCTTTTCTTCCCAGCTTCGTGATGATGGCATGAATCTCGGCGAGCGTCGACTGGATACTCTTGAGAACACAGACGCCCCAGGTCTTGATGAGATCAGAGCATTGCCCCGAGGGTGCGTTTCCCTCGAGACTGTCCTTGATCGCACCGCATATTGCCTCGACCCTTTCGATTTTTAGCATCAGCCGGTTGATCTCCGTTGAGGCAGACCGGTAGGTTGTGATGGCTCTCTTGACTTTGATGGCAGAGTCGATGAGCTGTAACGAAAGCCCAATCACTCCGATAGCTGCCTCAATCGAGGATGAGAGCGATGTACTAGGCGCGGGGGACCGCAACTAACAACAAAAGACATGCGAAGATGAGAGAACGTCCACACGAGACTTGAGAGGCGGATGAGGCATCTCGTTATTCTACCGCCGAGCAAGCGAAAACAGCGAAACGAGGTTGTCATGCAGGTTTACCCCTCCCAGACCCTACATGCGACCGTACAGTCGTGGCCCAATAGGACTTCGCCGCAGATAGCTTCGCCACAGCCATACTGACTGCGAATGCGGTTGGCTCCATTTCCGACCCTACCATTACCCACGGCAGTGAGCTGCGTCGTTGGCTACTGACTTGGGACATTGGAAAGGGAGGTTGTCTTTTCCGGTTCGTGTCTAAGAAGGTATGCAATTATTAGGGGCTGTATAAAACCCGTCTACGCGATATCATGTACTAAATTTCTAATTATGTAGGTCCTGAATGCTTGTATGTGCATCTGTCCCCCTTCAACCATTGAAAATTATTTACTCAAACGTAAAAGTCGAGCGGCAATTTGAGCCACTCGCACTGCTCGACATCCTTAAATCCTTTCATCATGTTGTCTTTCACGGGCCAATCGATGGCCCTCATCTTCATGTCGCCTTTCACAGACGGCTCCCAGGGCCCGGACTTTTCTAATGCCCTCAACGTGCTGTTGAACCCTCTGGCTTTGAGGAAGGCTTTATCCGGATTGGGATCATAAGTCCTTGCAAATGAGGTGAATGTGTCGACGAGGTATTGCATCCACGGCAAATCATACTCGTCCCGGACCGGGTTTCCTTGACGCACGAGATTGCCAAATAGCGGGAGCAACTCGCCCGAATGGCATCGGAGGTTGTTGGCGGGCGACTCAGGATCTCCGTTCGGGTGTGCCTTTGACTTGGGCGCCTCGCATATGTCGAGTCGCGGCCACTCGGGCGTCTGATACGTTCGTTCAAACTCGTAGTAGTACACTTTGGACCCGAGGACGCCGTTCTCTAAGCCCGCGTATGCCGTAGCCTGGTCTACGCAGCGGAACATCGCGTCGGTCGCTAGCCTGGCACCCATCCCGAACGCTGCCCGCGTCTGATTTCTAACATCTGTCGGAGGGAAGAGACGCTGTGGGGGAGCCGGGAGACCTTGGGATGTGAGCCACTGGGTATCGTTGAGGAATGTTCCATTGCGCGGGAGAATCAGGAACGGCAAGCCGTCTTCGGAGGTGGTTCCCATCATTACGTTGACGTTCAGGGAGTCGCCCCTGAGAGGCAACTCATCTGTCGTCAGGTAGACGCCGTCGTTGACGAGATACCGCGCTCCCGGCCCGAGACTCCCAAGTGGCGCGTCTCGGAGACAGTCGAGCTGCGACGTTGCGTTGGTGCAGTTCGTGGTGCCGAGGATGGCATTACCCACGAGGTCTAGCTGTTCCTCGATGGAGAAGTACTTGGAGTATGACGTCCCGTACGCCAAGCCACCGAGATTGCTGAGCGGGATCGCGCCCGCAAACTTCCCTGCTGCCTTTGGAGACGCCATCATCGCGCGGACGGAGGCAGCTCCGGCGGACTGGCCAAAGATAGTGATCTTACTGGGGTCCCCGCCAAAGTCTCTGATGTGTTGCCGGACCCAGTCCAACGCCAGGATCTGGTCGGCGAGACCAAAGTTGCCATTTGTCTCGCCATCGTCAATGGCCAAGTAGCCCAGAGATCCCAGCCGGTAGTTGATAGTCACGACGACAACATCGCCACGAGACGCCAGGTTTCCCCCGTCGAACAAGGGATCACTGCCAAAGCCACTCGTCAAAGCTCCACCGTGGATCCAGAACATGACCGGCCGGAGCCCGCTGTCAATTCGTCTGTTACGAGGAAGATACGGCGTGTAAACATTGAGGTAAAGGCAGTCTTCTGCGCCGCCGAATCCTTGATAACAAGGGGAGCCGAATTCGAGTGCGGTGGCATTTCCGCCAGAGCCTCGATACATCTTCGGGTACGCGAACCGCTTCGTCTTGGTAGCGTAACGCATACCGTGGAAACGGAAGCTGTTCCTATCGCGGAAGCCAAGGACTGCTTCTCTATTGGAGTAGACCACCGTCTGCCACCTCGGACTGCTATCCTGAGCTATACCGTTGGAGTATGGCGCTGTCTGCGAGCACAGAACGGTATTCGTGTCGGATGCGCCGGCGGAAGAGACCTCGCCTTTGAGGTTGATAGTTTGGGGATCATCGCCGTTCTTTGGCATAACCCAGATTGCCGACAAGTCAACATCCGGCTCTTGATAGTCGAGAATGTCCAGTACCCTCTGAGTGTGGTTCGAATCTGCTTCCCATAGCTGCTCGCCTAGATCGCTGCACATGGACTTGGCCTCTCTCAAGGGCACCCGGGCCCGGAGGAAGAGAGCGCTTGCATTGGCCGCTGGGCTTTTCGAGTCTAGAAGGTTTCCATTGTCAGACGGGGGTTTCGGGGTATGTGATCCTGATTGCGGCTCACCCAGGAGATCATTGTCTCGAATAATGGTTATGTCGGTCCTGAGGTTCTGGGTCGACGGTGCGCACGAAACAGCTGCAGCTAGTAAGGCGACCAGAGCGAGCGCTCCCGCGGGCATGACGTCTTACACCGAGACCGAGATGACAGTCCGCCGAGAAGAATACCGGAACCCATATATACAAACATGGAGAAAAATCAACAACCAAAACCAAAGGAATGGATGGTAGAACTGTCTGCTTCGTCCTTCTGAGCAATGTTGACCTGGATTTACAACAAGGACAAGTGGTGGCAATCCCATCAAGATAACAAAGTATCAGGGGCATCCGCTCAACTTAACCCAACCGGACTGTCCATTGCGCCGAGTGTGAACAGGGCAGAAGCAGGCCAAGGATCTCCCAAGCAACAAGGCGAGCGGGAAAGGAAGAGTCGGCACGGTCCGACTAGGTGCCCAAGTCTTGCTCTCCCTCACAATCCAGAACGACACACTTGGCCCTCCTCCGCCCTCGCCGCGGGGCCCTGGGAAGAAAGCTCAGGCACCAGAGTCGATCGAAGCTTTGGGATCAGCCTATCCGTGTTAGAGTGATTCTTCTACCGGGAAGACCGCAGGGCTGGAATGGCAGACGAGAGAGACCCCGAGCAGGGAAGCATGATGGACGCGGTCACTCTACGAGTTTTAGGCTGTACGCATGAGATCGCGCGGAGGCCGATGCTTTTGGTCCGAGCCAGGAGCAAGCTGGCGGAAAGGTTGCTCAGGTTTCAAAACTCAAGTCTCTTGCGCGCTCGCGCGCGCCGTGCTCATTCGCCTGCCCCCGCGACAATCACACACACAAACGACGTGGGGTTATCGTGTATGGCGCAACTTCGATTTCTAATTACTCCGACGGGCCGGTAGATTCTTGTTTGACACTGCAACCCTCACTCCACCAGAAAGTGATGGTGTGGATGTCGCTGGAGCTTGTAGGACAGGTTTTGGGTGCCATTCGATTGCCGAACGTCCGGAATTTTGGCGAAACGTCGTACTCGAAGCCGTTGCTGTTGCATTTTCGAGTATGATCTACGAACTCGGATCGGTGCGGGGTGGATTGATGTAACACAATCTCAGCGTCCAAGAGCGAGGGCATGAAGACGAGAAGGTCTGGCCAAGGTGAGAAGGCAGCTGGTGAGATGAACGACAATGGCGTCGGGAGTCGACATGGATCAATCTGACCTCTATTGTTTCCATGCAGCACCGTTTGATCGTTCCATCGTTCCATGTCTCTCTCTCTTTACACTTTCCTTGCTGCGGTAGTGGCCAGGCGCCAAGAAGGACGGCGAAACGACGGAGACCGTCCGTCGTGTTCACCGTCTGATGCGTGCTTTCTGCACATTCACTGAGTCGTCCTTTGTGAGGTAAACTCTATGTCCTGAAGAGGATCCTGTCCCGACGAGGTAAGAGGAGTAGGCCAAACAGTGCCTGACTCACGAAGGTTATGGAGAGAATGAGGCTCAGCATGGAACAACGTCAACCCTTCCTGACATCTAACACATGTCACAATGAGACAGACAGATGATGTGTCGGATGAACCGCGATTTCTGATTTCTCTGACTGCAGATAGCTATGCAGGGGGCTCCAATTACCCAGAGAAACTTCTCTCCTCAATATTCTTGAGGTCAATGAGGTTGGACTAAAGCTAACCCTTAGTTTCCCAAGTTTCCCGAGTAACTCCTAGGAGTCTTCTCCGTCCTCTCAGATGTTGATAGTGACTATAGACATCTAATTGTGCTTCAGAGGCGGGTCGGGCTTGCAACAGTCGTACTTGTCCGTTGCGACGATCCAGAAGTTGAGTCCAAACTCCTTGCAGCCGATACTGCCTCTGACTTCCATGCTACCGTCCTTGCCGCAGTGATCGAAGCTCTGAGCGAAGATGCCGTACATATCGAGGTTGCCAATCTTGGAGCTCTTGCCGTTGATCGGGGAACCTCGAAGGTTGGCGAATTCAGAGCCGACGGCAATGAGGCAAGTGCCGATGCGCATGAATTCAACCCACTTGGTGCCACGGAGATCAAGGTCAGAGAAGCTCCAGGTGCCGTCTGTCTTGAGCATGTGCTTGTAGATCTCATTGCAGTCCTTGGACAAGGCCTTCTGGTTGCGGTCGTAACAGGTAAGGCCCTGCCCCTCGCAGACTTTCTCAGACCTCTCGCTTCCCTCGAAGATGTGACGCTTGGAGAAGGAAGAGGTCTTGAGGTGATTGATGATGGGAATGGAAGTGTCTCTGGCGAGGAGAGTATCTTCGGCGTTGATGTCACCCTTGGCGGTGTTGTCGACACTCTTCTTGGTTTGTTTGACCTCCACACCTGGGGAGACCACACCCTCGACGTTCGCAAAGTCGTTCTTGCCGACCTTCGGGACGGTGAAGATGGCCTTGCACTTGCCGTTGTCGAGAAGGACCTCGTGGCAGACAGCTTTGGGACAAGGGGGCTCGGTGAAGGCGCAGAGAGAGCCACAGGCAGGATCGCGGATGATTCCAGGGCCCTGAGCAACCGGATTGGCGGCGACAGCCACGGCAAGCGCCATCACAGCGGTGAGGAGACGGGTCATGGCAGCCATCTTGAGGATTGTTGTCTGGAAATCCTGATGGATGATATAGACGAAAGCTGTCTCTTGAAGTAAAGAAAGTGTAGGGATGTATCTGGTTCTGAGTTTGGTAAGCGTCGTGTTTGACAATCACGGGTAGGTAGAGGTGAAGAAAATAAATGCAAGGAGGCCTCGGGGTGGTATGGCCTTTGCGTAGGCAATTACCTCGAGGTGGTGGAAGGCTGGTGAATAGAGTGCCTCTGATTTTGTGTGTTTGCTCGCTTAGTAGTAGAGGAAGGAGGGGAAAACAAAGGGAGAAGGTGCGATTGTGGTGTACAGAAACGCCAGTCACGGGGGAAAGCGCTTTGGAGCAGGAGTAGCACAAGGTGAAGGGGGAAAGAAACAGGATACTACCTAAGGTACGATAATCATCTGGTGAAGTGGCCTGGAAGTACAGTATTCACATAGAGGACCCAGATGTGAAGGAATGCCCTCTCAATGCGCTGTGTAACACGGAATATGTGGATTGAGGGGAGAGATATCTTGTGGAAGTCAAGTTTCTAAACCTCCTACTTTCAAAGGTGCCAAGCATGGCCATGGTGTCGAGTATTTTATTCACATTGGGTCAGTCAGTTCTTGCGTAGTGAAGCCTGTGTATTGAAACTGTTGTTGATGGCCAACTAGAGTATCCTCCTTCCAATGTGACCTCAAAGAATCCCAAGGTGCGGTCACTAACTACCCTTTCCTGCATCCCTGCCTTTGTAAATCCATATCAGCCCCGTAACGATGTTTGTTCTCAAGATTCAAATCCATAGCGAAAGGTATGCTCATTCTTCAGTTGTCCCACTTGATCATGTCGGGGTTGGCGATGTACCAGTCGGCAGCGACCTTGCCACCCGAGGCGATGCAAGAAGAGCGACCAGCAACCTCGACCTGGTCCATCATTCTGTGCTTGTCAATGGCCTGCTGGATGATCTCGGTGACATCCTGGTTGCCGATGTTGATACCAGCCTCGGGGCGGTTCTCCTTGGTGGCGCCGACGACAAAGGCGCAGGTGCCAACGACAGAGAGGGCAACCCAGCGGTGCTTGTCCAAGTCAGCCTTGGAGACGGCCCAGTGGCCAGCGTTGGAGGCAGCCCAGTCCTTGATGGCAAGGCAGTCAGAGACAAGGGGCATGTAGGGGTTGATGTGGCCAGAGTGAAGGCCATTGACGTTGTCGCAGAAATCCTCGTTGCAAGCCTTCTTGTTGGGAACCCAGGTAGTGGCTCCAGAGTTGACATCAGTCTTCATGCCGTCGAAGTTGCCTTCGTTGGCCTTGGCAGGATCGAGGGTGAAGACGGCAAAAACGGTGCCATCGGACGCTGTGAAGGGATGGCAGATAGCGTTCGCAAAGGGAGCCTCGGTAATCTCGCAGATCGTGGCCATGTCGGCCTTGACCGGCTGCTCAGCAGGAGCAGCAGAGGTGACAATCGCGCCCAAGATGGCGGAGAAGGAGGTGATGATGGTGATGCTCTTCATTTTGGCGGTGATTGTGAGTGAAGGATTGAATTCAGTGCGGGATGTTGTGATGTGAGGTATAGAAGGGGGTTGGGATTGTTTGTTGTCGATTGTCAATGAGACTTTCGTGAGGGTTGGTTTGTTTGCAAGAAGAAGAATTTCCAAGAGAGGGCAAGGGATTTTTTAGGCTTTTTGATGTGAATCTCTCATTGAATACACACTTAGGCGAGGGCGGTGTGTGAGTCCAGATGGTGAATACTATCACGAATTTAAGTGAAAAGAGGGCAGGAGAGGATTGAGGGGGAAGGTGCCTCCAGCCCATTGAGCAAAAGCAAACAAAAATATCCCGCCGGAAGTTTGTTTGTGAATGGTTCAATGTGTTGCACCACTGAAAACCGAGTACGCTTGGGAAACCATTAGCGACTACATTTTGACTCTCGCCATGGCTGGTACTCGAGATGATATCCAATAAAGGGGTGAAGCATCAGTCATGTATTATACCGCTTGAATGTTACCTGTACAACAACTTACCGAGGTCAACGTTCATCGGCATACTCTTAAAGCGGCTGTATGAATTACTCCCTATAGGAATTAGCCAACATACACTCGGTCATGCCCTCGAGTACTGAGCTGTAATTGCGCGGTGGAGGATCTCCTACTCCCTACCTTGGGTATTTAGCTGGGCGACTTGGTGTGATGTATGAGAAACTCGATTACGCCACAAACCAGATCAAGCCCCCAGAATCCAAATACATGGCTTGAAACTCCATAAGTCAATTTATTCTTTCAGACATAACGTGACTGGACTTCATTGTATTGATAGACTTCTCTTCCTCAGAACATCAAGGTGGATGGGCGATAGAAGCGTCTTACAATCATTAGGTAACCAAGCTGGCCACCGGTCAAAGACGAAGAATACCACTACTTCCGTAGACACGATTATTGTCTCTACAAGCTTTTTCCTGATGTTGAATCTGGACAGGTACCGGGTGAGTGGTAGCACGACTTGTGTGTGTTCCCCAGCGGAGCACGAGAAAGGGCCACCATCTCGCACCGCAGGTTGAGCCAGGCATCCAGGCCGTAAGCACACTCTTGGAAAGGCACTCACGTCTGGACGTCGGACTTGCCCGGCTGTATAAGTGGCGCAAGTTGAGACAAGTGTGGTGTCCTCGGGTAGAGCCGCTGTCTCAAGGCTCTATCCGCCAAGATGGCGCCTTTTGCGTGTTCACCTTCTAGCGTCATACCGGGTATGTATTCTCGGAGCATCATTACCTCACTGCTGCCTTGCTGAATAATTCTTCAGAGAGGTCATTGCCTTGACGTCGTGCTACTGATGAGCCAACCATCTCCGATCATACTATATAGGCTGGCGATGGCTTGCCAATAAGGAGTCGGAGAATGAAGGCCGAACGCCGTAGATGACCAGCCAAAGTGCTGTACAATGTGCAAAAAGCCAGTCAGTCGCGTCAGCCAAAAAGGACGAGGCAACCGCACTTTCGCTAGCCTTGTTGAGAATAGGCAAAAACTTTGGAGGAAAGCTGTGAACTCTGCAACTATCTACACCCTTGGCGTTGTAACCGGGCGCAGGCTGGTACATGTGAATGAGCGGTGGCGTCTTGTTGTTGTGTGGAAGCCAAGGGCTCTTCTGCCTGCAGGGATTATCAGCATCCCCGACTGATTCCTCTTCAAGCCAGGTGCTTTGTACAGGTTACACCAAACACTCAACATTCGAGGATAGTCCCACTTTGTCGAAACTTCTTGAATGCACTGACACGGCGATCAGTTGAGAATTTAAGGAGTCGGCGAAGTGACAGCTCTTGTCCTCCCTCGACCGCGTTGGGCATATATACAGATGACGGCTGCATTGTAAACGGTGAGACCCAGGAGCCAGGCATCGTTGGTGACACGGAGTACAGCTTTTCGGCTTGGTAGGACAAAGGAAAGACCCGCAGTTTGACGGAAACCCGCCAGATCGCTCGATTGTACGCGTTGTACATGAGGAGGGCAAGGAGGTCCCTGTGGGATTAGGCATCTCTGCAACGACTATGGCGAGGACGCAATCCAGGGTACGTGAGGAGATTTTCTTGTATTACCTCTGATGTAAAATCCTGCGTGTCCAACGTCGCGCAAAGGCCCTGCACAAAGACGATTTCAGTCGCTGTGGATCCCGGGCTTCTCGACGTGCAGTGCCGATGAGTAGAACGTTGGGACTACGCCCATGGAAACCCACGAAGACCAAGACTTCTGTGTCATCAGGAGTTGCGAGTTCGTGCCAGCGCTGTGGAAGTTGTGTAGCAACGCAACTGACAGCCCTGGTCTATGCTTTCGATGATCATCCGCGGCGTCTGAATATCATCGGCCTTGACTGACAGACGGCTTAGACAGGCCTCCCCTGTCTTTAAAATACCGGAAGACTTGAAGAGGTTTGGAAGGGTAGTAGAAACCCTTCAGTATTGCATGGGTGGTGCTTGTAAAGGATGTAATCGACCGGAACAGTTATCAGTCACGTCAGTTAAGGTGCGGCTCTGCGATGACAACTGAGACCAGTTGGCATTATTGTCTCATTCTTCGCCGCCCCTGCACACCATTCGAGTACTCTGAAATGGTATGGGGCCATAGGAACGATGTGAACGCGGGAGAGAAAGGCGCGAGCGAAAGGTGGCTTTGGGATAGGCCTCGTGTCAGGAGGCCGGCCGCGTAAGATGCTCGATTTAGAAAGGTCTTGTCGAAGTGTCGGATGAACCACCGACCAGACCAACTCCGAAGAACGAAGCAGAGCTCGCATGGTCCAGACCGTAGCCTAGAGGAGAGACGCCCTTCCGTTCCTATCTTTGATACGAAGCCGAGGGCGGCACCGACTGCAACACACTTGTCGATGAACAGCCTTAATGTCTCGGTTGTTACGGACTCAGAATAGTCGCCTCTTGTTTCCTGCATGTCGACGTACGCATGTCTCGATCGCTGGCATCTCGAATTCACATCCTATGACCGACAGGAAGCTTGAATTCTTGGCCCATTCCTTCGTGTCGTGTCAGCTTGATTGGTCAAGCACCTAGGGCTTCTGCCGTGTAACATAATTCTGCAGGTCGCTGCTGGATGTCCCTTATCGGAGTCATTTGATGCACCTCTCACCAATTGGAGCCGTTGAGAGGGGGTGTTGTGGTCGTTGATTGGGGTCAATGATGGCACCCAGAAGTGTAAGAATCATGTACCCGATTGAGCCGGTCCTGGGCAGTGTTGACCGTGAGCCTGCGTTGATTTGCCGATCAAGCCACTTAGCTGGACACACTCCGTAATGTGCGTCCTCCACACACCTAAAGAAAAAGCGGCACGTCTTCGGTGAGGGAATCGAGGTTAACAGTTATTCAGCCGGATGGTTGCCTTGTTTCGTGCGGCGCGGACCATTTCTCTGTTCGCAATGTTCGCCTTCCGGGTCGAACCTCCCTCCCGCCCGTCAAGTCCGTCCGCGCAAGACAAAAACAGTCTCTTGCGGGGTAATGGCACCGGCAGAGACGGTAAATAAGCAGCTCTCGGTGTGTAATGCGGGAGCCCAGGTATGCCAAGACATGGTGACAGCTTCCCGATTCCAAGTATAGCTCTGGTAAGGAACTCAGGCATGTTGAAAATGTATAGTTCATAGTCGCCGGGGCCCGTTGGACTCTGGGTGGTAAATTAGCCTTTGTTTCGTTTTTTCCGAGTTCATCCAGCAACCAAATCAAAGTCTTCAGCTCTGGTGAGGGAGGAAAGCGTATCAAGTATCGCAATTGAATTAATTGCCGTTTGACGACCAGGCTGCCAATCCAAAGGTGAGTAACGTGGCGCTTGACTGGGCGGTGCCCACCACTTCACCGAACCGACAGGGATGGTGCAAATGGATGCCTCGAGAGCAACGAAGTATTGTATGAGTAGGTGGCTTGCTGGGTTGAGTGATAGGTTGCGCGTATGGTTGACAATTGCATATTCCTGGCGGTGAAAGTCAGCTTCCTGGCTTGAAAGCTCGCAACGCCCGCCCCCTCCTCTCGCGGTTACTATTTCCCACACTTCTCTCTTATCTTCTCCTTTCTCCTCATCGGACGTAAGAAACCGGGTAACTGACCTCGATCCTCCAAGTATAAGGCTCGTATCATCGGAAAGAGACCAGTTGAGATATGTGCTACCGTGGCCAAAGTTGTTGTTGTTGGCCAGTCTATTCTTCTCGCGGAGCCCAGACCTGCATCCTGCAGCCAGGAACAAAGATCAAGACAGACCAACGGCATATCAACAGCATAAGTACCCAACACACCCTCCTGTTTCTCGTTTTGTCTCATACACCCTTCCACAAAGGACCGCGCTCGCCTCACTTTGTCTAGCACCAATCGAGACAGTCACAAACTCTTCCGGCACGACATCCAATTCTGCATACTTTTCTCCCTCCTATCTCATTGCATGTTAGCTTCCTGGGACGTCGGTTACGGAGTCCCCATATAAGACGTGCCTTACCTGCCCCCAGCCCCCCTCGAGGATAGATTCCGTGTCCTAGCATCAGTTCAGTCTTCGTCACCATCATGGCTGCCCTTCCAGCAGGCGTTATCAAACTCACTTCCGGCAATGCGCCCAAACATCCCACAGGGGCGGTACGAGGTGGACCGCATCCTCCGCCTCCTCCACCGGTGCCCAGAGCTCCCGCCACAGGACCGCCAGCTCATCATGCCATTCAACGCCCAGTAGCCCCGATGTTAGCTCCGATGATGATGCCTCGTCCCATGCCAGTTCAGCCTCCCAACGACATGATCCCACCAGAGCTAAGGCGCAAGGGTCTCGTTCAGCGTTCGGATCTTCGCAACGAGCGTATGACCGATGCCGATGCACGCGAGGCCTTGTCCGATTATGTCGTATACCGGTTCGAAAAGGTCAATGACCCAAACGAGATTGACGACGAAGGAAACCCCGTCAAATCGACCTGGGAGAATGTCATCCGCACAGAGGTCCAAGACCTCTCCAAGCCGGCCATAACTCGAACCATTCGTGACCTTGACGCCGAGGGTAGGACGGCAATGCAGAAGAAGCTGGACCTCACAGGGACACAGCAGCGTCAGATCGAAAAGGCGCAAAACAACCTCGACGCACACAACCTCGACAGGCGGTTCAATTACACTCTGCAGCAGATCAGCACCAAGATCAGGAAGCTCAGCAAGGATTCTATCGAGTACCGCCAGTACATGGCCGGGAGAGAGTCCAAGAAGGTCGTGGTAACCAAGGTTAAAGAAAGGAAATCGAAGAAGAACCTCCTGGAGACTATATCGATGACGGTGTATTTCAAACGAGAGCCGCGCTTCGGCGAGGATGCCAAGGCCATCCTCAAAGAGAGGGAACGGGAGATCGAGCAGCAACAACGCTTGCAGGAACAACAGCGACAGCACCATCATGCTCAGCAATTGGTTGCACAGCAGCATCTTCATGAGTTGGCGATCCGACGGCAACATGATGAATTTCAGCGACATCTTCCCCTACAGGGAGGGCCGCCCCGGCCTCCGTTTCCGTTGCCGAAACCTGTCAAAGAGAAAACCGATGTCAAAGTCATCAAGACAGAGAAGGGTAAAACCAAGGTTTATAACCTCCCCTCGAGAAGTTCGGGAAGCTCTGGAAGCTCGCGCTCGGACGATAGTTGGAGCGAGTCAGACCAGACGCCGAGTACATCCGTCACTGGTTCCTCCGATTCCAGCAGGCATGGCCACCACCGCGGTCGTCATCTAAGTCGTGTTCGCAGTCGAAGCCATAGCCGTAGCCGTAGCCGCCGTCGATACCACGACCGGCCTGAGCACTACAGCATCAAAGTAACCCGCCACCATACGAAGCATGACCATCACCTCCTCAATGATGATGTCCTTCGAGGTCTCATGCCTAATTCACCTCCGCTGGCACCATTGATAATGCCTGGCGGACCCGACCACTTTGAGCATGAAGTATTCCGGCCCCGACGGCTAGCAGATACGGCCTATGACAACGAGCTGGAAGACATTGAGCTATACAGTAGTCTCGGCCGCCGTCGTCAAGTTGCGCTGCCGCCCCGTGTCATACACAGGCGGCCTAGCTTCCGCATTGTTGATTCGGGAGAGGTTGTCCGTGCAAGACACGAAGATGACTTGGATAATGTGAGAAGATTGACGATCCATGACGAAATCAGATTTGAAGATCGACGGATGAGCGAGGAGGATCTGGCTGCCGATAGGCGAGAGGCTGACACACGGAGGCGACAACTGGAAACTCGATTCCGTCGGTCTTCTCTAGAAAGGGGCGCTCTGTTTCGAGACGAGGAAACGTACGAAGAGAGAGCCCGAGAAGCAAAACAGTACATGAATCGGCACCTTAACAATCCATTTGAACCCCTGGGACGGTCAGGGGCGAGGTACCACAACTAGGGTAGCTCAATTTCGCGGTCCTTTTCGGGGTTTCCTTCCACACTTGAGGATGTCGTTAATAGCTATACGTCTCATTGATCGGCAAGAACGGAACTATTCTGTGTTAATGCTTTAGTCGAAACAAAAGTTGGACAGGCAGTGTCTTTCCGGAGGGCAGCATAGTGAGATTGACCAATGAAAGATCTGAATCATCAGTTTGACCAAGTGAGGACCTTCCCTCGTGTCAGTGAAAACAATGAATAAAGTATGGCAGTGCAGATTGCAGAGACGCCGAGGTAGCACAGCTCCACAAACATGGAAGGAGAGAGCTTGAATAAGTAGTGCCAGGCTAGGCTTGCGGAGCTCTGCCCAACCTTTGTGCCTAAACGGTTGCCATTGGGGCCGACTGCAGATATTGCCCCGCGCCCAACGTGAGGCGAACGAACAGCTTCTCCTTCGACGACATTGCATCGAGGCGCAGGACCTTTCTGCAAGAGAGAGGAGCTACGTGGTGGACGTGGGCTGTCCGCAGCCAATGACGGTTATTGAGTAACATGCCATTGGACAATCTGAAGAGTCTGTTCAAGTAGCCAGCCCATCATTTGTTTCTAATAGGAAGTGGAAGAAGTATTTGGGGTGTATGTGCGAACTTCAATCGTAGAAAAGGTAGACACATGACGAACAAGAACCAGGTCTAAGTCATACGGATGGGAATCATCATTCACGACACTGAACTCCTCACGTGTCATATGTAATTCGGTGTGAATGGTGAGGTTGTCGTTGTCAAGGAATCGGGTGGTGGTTGATCAACTGGTGGTGGAGCGCTGAGCCGTGATTCACTAGCTCGATGACTAAGCCAATGTAGTTTGGAGCAACTTTCGCGCCAAGGTTCAGGAGGGGCTTAACGCGTCCAGGCGCGTTCGACCACAATCGGAATTGCCCTTCCAGGATGGTCGCAGATCGAATTCTTTCCTTCCTCGGTCAGCGTGCGACACAGTAAAGCCTCTCACGTACAGAGTTCCACGACAAATGTCAACAAGACAGCCCCTCGGATGACGGCTGGAATCACCAGCCTCCTTCCCATTCGATTTTCGCCCGTACTCCGCCAACTCACCCTCAGAGCAGCAATTCGTATTGCTCATGCCCACACCTCTGCCTCCCATCCGGATCTAGATCCGCATACAGATTCGATGTTGGCCAGAGCGAAGAAGGCCTACGAGGCCAGCGCTCCGCCGCCCCAGAAGAATGACTTAGCAAAGCAACTATTCCCCTCGAGCAGCCCCAGCGCCACTCAGAATGGCAATATCATAGACCAGTTCAAAAAGACCACCCCGACGACCACAGTGCCACCCACAACGACGAACTCGACACGACCCCCGCCGGGCAGGACTGCTAGTGTCACGCACTTTGCAAGCAGCAATCGATCTGCTCTGGACTCCATATCCGCCCCTAACGGGAAATCCTTCGCCTCTCTCTACGCCAGATCTGACTCTTTTCGAGACGAGCCGAATAATATGTCTAGCCAAAGTAGACAGGCCAACTCGAAACCCGCGGTGTATTTTGCCGAAGATGATTTCAGCGACGACGACCAGCTTGACCTGGACTTCGAAGCCCCGTCGGCTCTGCCGTCACTCCCCAAGCCCCCTGTTGTGGCAAAGAAGGTTAGCAATCCGGCGCCCGAGGAACCTTCGACACAAGTTCTACCGTGGTCCTCGTCTCCCGCGTCACATTTCGTCCACCCTCAACTATCCCGCACCACATCTGCCGAAAGCTCGCTTAAGCGCGAGTCTCCAGATCACGTCGAGTCTATAGTGGCGCCGCAGCCCAAGAAGCGCAGGCTTCCAACCAAATGGAAAGTTGAAGAGGACTTTATCCCAGTGCCACAAGATGAGCCGGAGGTCTCTCGATGGGCGGATGGTGGTGTCACACCTGCTCCCAAGAAAAAGAATGAGACCTGGAACATGACTGCCAGTGCCCTCAAGGAGCAGAAGAAACAGTTGAAAACACAATCCAAGAAAGCCGTCGCCGATGAGGAAGGGTGGACCATGGACGATATTCGAGCAGAGGTGACGAAAAGCAACTTGCCCAAACCCAAGGCATCGGTGATTGCTCTGACTCAAGAGCAAAAGCATGTTCAGAGCCTCGTTGTCAACAATGGCCAGAGTGTCTTCTTCACAGGTCCAGCCGGAACTGGAAAGTCGGTCCTGATGAGGTCGATCATTGCAGAGCTCAAGAAGAAATGGGCGAGAGATCCGGAAAGGCTATCTGTCACAGCGTCGACAGGCCTCGCAGCCTGCAATATTGGAGGTCAAACACTGCACAGCTTCTCTGGAATTGGCCTTGGAAAGGAAGACGTACAGACATTGGTGAAGAAGATCCGGCGGAACCCCAAGGCCAAGAATCGCTGGCTTCGTACTAAGACGCTCGTAATTGATGAGGTCTCAATGGTGGACGGCGAACTTTTCGACAAGCTTTCGCAAATCGGCAGAACCATCAGAAACAACGGCAAAGCCTGGGGCGGCATTCAACTAGTGATTACAGGAGATTTCTTCCAGCTACCCCCGGTACCTGATGGTGATAAAAGCAGAGAATCTAAATTCGCCTTCGAGGCGGCGACTTGGAACACTACGATTGACCATACGATTGGTTTGACGCAGGTGTTCCGTCAAAGGGACCCAGGTATGTCGAAACGAAACACCAGTGTGGACATTCTAGACCGGTGCAGCAGCTAACCAATCTTAGTCTTTGCCAACATGCTTAACGAAATGCGTCTTGGCAGAATTAGCGACGAGACTGTGCAAGCTTTCAGAAAGCTGGACAGGAAAATTCCCACCGAGGATGGCCTAGAAGTCACGGAGTTGTTCCCTACACGATATGAGGTCGAGAATGCCAACCAAAATCGATTGCGCAACTTGCCCGGGATTGCCAAACGGTACGACGCGGGCGATTCCGGAGACCCCCAAATACGCGACAAGTTACTCCAGAACATGATGGCACCCAAAATGATTGAGCTCAAGGTTGGTGCTCAGGTTATGCTGATCAAAAACATGGACGACACACTTGTCAACGGTTCACTCGGCAAAGTTACCCATTTCATGAGCGAGGGCAGCTTTGAAAACTGGAATCCGGCGGACACGATGCCGAGTATCGAGGATATGGACGAGGATGGAGAAGCAAGGGCGAAGCGCAAAATCAAAGCTTTCAGTAGGGAAGTGGAGGAAGCCACCAGGGGCAAAACCGAGTATCCTGTCGTGGAGTTTGCGGCGGTGGATGGATCTACCCGCACCATCCTCTGCGTCCCAGAAGACTGGAAGGTTGAGTTGCCTAATGGCGAGGTACAGGCTAATCGAAGCCAGCTGCCTCTGATCCTTGCATGGGCGTTGTCGATTCACAAAGCCCAAGGTCAGACCTTGGAACGAGTCAAGGTCAATCTGGCCAAGGTGTTCGAGAAAGGTCAGGCCTACGTCGCGCTCAGTCGAGCGACCAGTCAACAAGGCCTGCAGGTCCAGAATTTCAGGAAGGACAAAGTGATGGCTCACCCTCGGGTCGTAGGATTCTACAACAAGCTTTACAGTGCCGACATTGCCATAACGAAAAAGCCGCCAAGCATGGCTGATTTTCTACACAAGGAGAAAGACACGAAACCTGTCAGGAGTACTTCTGGAGTGAGCGCGCGGTCTCAATCGTTTGTGAGGAAAGGCGTTGAGGTGATTGACTTGGACGAGGAGGAGGAGGCAATGGCAAGCTACGGTGGTTTTTAAACTCGGGCTCAGGAGGGGGTTTGGCAGTAACATAATATGGCGTTCCAGAGACACCTCGTGAGCAAAGGTCCTGCTCGAGGGGTCGGTCTATGCATGTTTGGAAGGGGTTGATTTGGGTCTTCACGGTTGTCTGGACATAGATAGCGTTGGACTCGCACGCTCTGGTTTCGCTTTGAAGCGCACGTCTTTGCGGGACGGGAAATACCTCTGCTCTTATAGCGAACGAGTAAGACAGAACGATATCAGAAGAGATTTGTCGTTGGTCAGGTTGATTCGTTGTCGTAGTGAAGAGCTCTCATCAATAAATGTATCGATGACTTGCAACCCCTCCTGTTCCGAGCTACATCGGCGGGGTTTGTTGTTTTCTTTAACGACTGGAGATCAACCAAGGGTATTGCCAAATTCCTAGGTGCGACGCGTGCTACTCGCGCTGGAACACAGTCCAAGATGCCTTCCGAATTGATTATGAGCTGTTTGGTGCTGCGCATTTGATGGAAATTGGTAACACATCATGTTCCTTTATTATCAAAGTGAACCGAGCTTTTGAGTTCGTGACTTCCATCGTACCCAAAGGTACCCAATTGGGCCCGGAAGCTTGTGTCCATGACGTTCATCCCTTCTTCCTGGGCGGGCATGCTGTAAGGCAAGGTAAGGTAAGGTACCTTAGGGTAGGTAGGTAGCTGCCCGCCACCAGCAGAAATCCCCGTGACCTTGCACTTGGGACCTGCGCCTGCCCTGCGCCTGCCGCCTGTCCTGCGCTTAAGTCCCCTGCGCTTGCCTTATCGATAAGCATTGGGAAAAAGTTAAGGGAACCTGAACCCAGCAGGTGAATGTGCCCGAGGGGGGTAGTTGGGGAAAGCAAGCTCTCTGGTCTGGTCATTCGTAGAGATCCAAGGTCAACGCACATATTCACTGTCAACGTCAACCTCATTCTTGCTCTCCAACAGCATCTTACCGCCGTCGCGCCCACCTCGCGATCTTTTTTGGCCACCTGCAATATCTCCAAAGCTCAAACTTCGGTCAATTCGCACATCCTGCCTTCACAACGAAGCCCCAACCCAACGCTCCTCTGGTGCATCCTGACACAGTCAACGACTCAGCACCCAGACGCTGCGACACATCCGTCACCATGGAGTTCATCGGCTTGCAGATGCTGGTGACGCTGAGGCAGCCTCACGGCACGATGCTGAAGGGCACTGTTAGCGCTATAGAGCCCGGCATCAGCCTGACACTGAGTAACGGTACGTTCATATTTCCGACCGCATCGCTAGATGACCAGTCCCACTAACAAACGCACACATAGTCTTCACTCACGGAACGAACCACTGGCTCCCGAGGGTCGTCATCGATGCCGCCAACGTCCTTGAGCTTTCCGAATTCAAGGAAGATGCCGCGCCCAATACCTTCACAGCGCCGGGCGTCAGTCCTGTTCCTGCTCCCGTTGTCAATCAACCTGCGCAACCCGCCTTTGCGGACCCCGCCATCCTCAGCATGGGGAAAAGGCCCGACTCTGGTATCGTGAGTGGGAGTGAAAGCCAGATACTCCCTGAAGCTGTACCTCAACAGACTGCAGACGCAACAAGGGACTTTCGGCCGGGGCAACCAGGTGTTCTGTCTGGCGTCCACCTAACTGGAGGTCTGAGGGACGACATTGTCAGCCTGAGTGAGACCTTGCAGGAGCTGGAGGTGGATGATTCGACGCCTAACGCAAAACGATTCGCTGCGGAAAACAGCGCAGTATCGCAGGATGTGGGCGAAGCACAGGGCCAACCCCAAAAGAAGAACAGTAGGCGGCGAGCGAAGCAAAAGGCTCGAAACGGGACAACGGAGGAAACGATACCGGAAGTCACCCCGATCCGCGGCAATGCGACTAACCGTGGGAAGGGCTGGAGGCAAACTCCGATGCTTCAAAGCTCGCCTTCCTTCCAACCCTTCAACTCACTGAAACGGGGCCTCAAGGGCAAGAAAGACTTGCCCGAAAACGGATGGGCCTCGGAGGATGTTACTGAGGATATGGTCGAGTTCGACTTTGAGAATAACTTGGCAAAGTTTGATAAGCGCACCATATTCGACCAAATGCGAAAGGAAGACTTGGTTGACGAGGCAGACCGGCTGGTTTCGCACAACCGCCTGCCCAAGCCAGGAACAGCTGGAGGGAAGAACTTCCACTATTCTGAGAACGTGCTCGACTTGCCAGCCGCATCGGCAAAGACGAGCCAGGATTTCTGGAACAGTGAGGCTGATGATGCCGCTAATGGAGTTGATCGACTAAGCGGTCGTGATGTCCGGAGTGCTCAGAGTGGCCGCAGGGCGGACAGCAAACCAGGGGCTGCGAGGAGGTCGCAATCGCGGAAAGCGAGCGCGCAACTTAACAGCCAGCCCCTCAATCGCGTCAACTCCAACGTACGTCTGAACAGACAGTCCCAAGCGTTGCTTCGTTCTCAAGACAGCCCAAAGAGTCTTCAAGGTACTAACCGCCCACAGCACGTTTCACAGTCCGGCTTTTATCTCGAACCTTCAAATCGACGACTGGAGACCGTCTCGGCTCTTCAAATGTTGAACCTTGAAAACATCGCAGCCAACGAGATTGGGCTCACGGAAGACATGATGGCAGAGAACGCAGGCCGAGGAATCGCTGAGGTGACATTGCGAGCTCTGGAGGACCCGGCGATCCAAGTCCGCTTCGGAACCGGTGGCGCAAATGCTCAGAGCAACATTCTATCGGCTTCTGCGACCGTCGTCATTCTTGCCGGCAACAACAAATCCGGAATAAGAGCCATTGCGGCTGCTCGGCACCTACGCAATAAGGGTCTCAACATGCTGGTTTGTGTCGTTGGCATCGAGCGTGAGCGAGATCTGCTCGAAGACATGCGACAGCAGGTGAGAATATACAGAAACTTCGGAGGTCGCGTACACAACAAGATCGAGTTATTCGAACAGCTTCGCAAGACAGCTTCAACCCCAGCAACATCGGTAACACTCATCATCGATGCTCTTCTAGGCTTGGCGATCTCATTTGAGGAGCTGCGAACAGGCGACCAAGCCACTGTGTACGAGTTGATAGAATGGGCCAACCGAAACGAGGCCTTTGTTCTTGCGGTGGATGTACCAACTGGCATCGACCCGTCTACCGGAAAGGTCAGCATCATTGACGGTGGGCGCTTGTATGTCAAGCCTCGGTACGTGGTGGCGATGGGCGCGCCGAAGAAGGGACTGCTCGAGGCGATGGCACCCGTTTCGGACACCGACCCTTCGAATGTCCACGGTGCCAGAGCTGCTGACGGGCATGCTGCTGTAGCTGAAGATGAAGACTGGAAGCTATTCATTGCCGACATGGGTCTTGGCGCGACAGTCTGGAAGAAGGCCGGTACCAAGATTCGGAGAGGCATTGACTTTGACGACAAATGGGTTCTTCAAATGCGGTACCAGCCAGCACTTTCTCAAGAGCAGTGATTCCTGTCCTGGCGAGGGAAAGGATGATTCACAACGGAGTTATTTATGGGAAAAGGATCATAAAAAGCGAGTCTTTTCAATGCATTGTCTAGGCATTTTCTTTATCGCACGACGGTGGAGGGACAGCATACGGGAAGAGGAGTTTGCGTACAGCCTTCCTTCTATTATATCCGCATCGGGGAATGGTGGACATGATCTTGTACGATATTACAATAGCAGCAGCTATTACCGAGCATGACCTGGTTTTCTTTTATTCGCTGCATGCCACCATTTGCGCTCAGTATTATCTTGTAAGCCCAAAACTCAACTTATACTTAGTGTGAGGTAGACCCATGTCGATTTCCTCATGAGCCTTGCAGTCGCCGGACTTGAGAAGAGGCAGCCGGCCGGCTTCCCGTGTGGATACTCGGGGCAAGACAAAAGTTCGGGAGTGTACGAAGTAGGTGAACGTTGCGTTGGGGGCCGGAAGGTGCAGCGCTGCATCAATAGATGTACTCCGTAGTGCTAGTGCTGACAGACGATTAGCGCGTGGGGGGAGGGAAACCGAAGACCTCAACAGTCTGAGCCCTCCCTACCTACCATGATCGACATCGTGAGGATGGCGTTCGAATACGAGATTTTTGCTGTAAGGCTGTCATCGAACGCACGACATGACTTGGAGTCGCACGACAGTGTGATATTGGGGGCCATAGATATGCCTCGAGATGGGAGCGGGAACTACGGGCCAGAAGGTCGTTCGTTGCTACCTAGGTGGACTTGGAGATCTCGGCGGGGGTAGATTGGGCTTGGGAGGACCGCGGGTAACCCGCGACGGGGAATTTTGGGTCTTCCAGAAAACAGACCAGAAGGGGCTGTGTAGAGACGATATTTGCTACGAGGTAGTTCACACATGAAGTCATGAAAGCACTAGGGAGCAGCTGTGCGCCATCATTACGGAGGCTTTTGCGACTTCTTGTCTTGCAGCGGGGAGGGGAGGGGAGGGGTGGAAGTCAGGCCATGGCTGAGGCTGAGGTGTCGCCAGCCTCCTAGCTGGACACGTTTATCTCGTCATTGTACTGCAACCCTAGCTAGAGGTCGCCAGATCGGGTCGTAATAATCGAGGTTGGAGGCTCATGGGTTCCATTGCATCAGGTTATGGTTACTCTTGGGATAATCTCTCAATGCGACGTCTACTAGTGACGGGTGCGCAGGAATTATGAAGGAAGCTATCGAACGAGCCACAACATGAGGACAAAGAGGTCTGGTGTGTTTGAAGCGTCAGGCTAGCGATGCGGTATCCTGTGATGGGATTGTGAAACGGGGGGGGGTCTTATACAGCCCAATGGCCCCCAAATATGCAAGCGTGGTCTGTAGCCTGGAGGGGCTGCATACAAATCTTGCAGCAGCAGCAGCAGCAGCAGCCTGGGCAGCCCTCTCTCCCCAGACGGTCTCACTAGCCCCTGGCGATGAAGATATGGGAGGCCAACGGGAGGGCGCTGAGCTGTGATCGATCGTCTAGACTTCGTAGGGCGGATCGGATATCCATACTGATATAAGAACACAGTGGCGACCTGAGGCTTTGCTGGAAAGGTTCCCAGCGTGGACGTGGCACTGGTTCCTTACCCTTGGGGCCAACACAGACACGAGAAGTTTGCGACCTTCAACAGATCGACATACTCCAAATTCAAAAAAAAAAAAAAAAAAGGCAAATACAGACGAACGACGAAAAGCCAAAATTCCTTGGCTGTCGACAGCTCGGTCCGTCCCGTCACATTACGATTCCGCCGAAACCCCCACTTCAGATGAGCTTCAGGTCCGATATGGTGGAGACTGGCTCCGTTGCCGGGGGTCCGCCCGAGGGGTAAGTACCTTCCCAAAGCAACGGCTGGGCGTTTCCGCCGCGGAGTTGAACTGGAATATTACAAGAGTGAACGGAGTAGTGCTGACGAAAGGTTTGCATCTTAGGCAGACCGACGCATCAAGTCACGACCATAGCATCGCGCGCCGTATGAACAATTACCCTGCGCTATCTTGGTTGACCGAGGCGTTCCTACAGACGCAGGACCGTTCCGCGAGGATCGCCGTCGGCAGCCCCCGCTCCGGAGTCGGCATCCTCGGGCTCGGGCTGCTGGAGCACCACATCAATCTCCTGCCGACCATGCGGCACGCCGACGCGGTGCCCATGTTCGACCACGCGGCGGGTAGGGCCAGATACCTTGGTTGGCGGCAGAAGGTGGCGACGTGGCCGCTTTCCCAGCAGGAGGCGATGAATAATCGGACCTTTGCCGTTTGATTGGGGGGTTTTCCCTATGTGTGCGGATTTGGAAGGGGATGAAGGCGTGGGAGGCCGTCGCCGGATGACTCGTCCTTCAGGGATGCCTGTTGAGGATGAGAATCGGAGGAGTGGATGATGGAGGGAAAAAGTGTCCCAGTTTGTTTGCAGTGGGCTGGCATTCCAGCCGTCATTCGTTTGCCGCCGGATGCATCGAGCGCCCAGCCCAGTTTGGGGTATGGGGCTGCCAGGATGGCGAATGTTGGAGGAAAGAAAACAAACGTTTTGGATTTCACAGAAGCTTAGCTGGTGGTCCGGGTTCGCCGCTCTTTTGGACGATTTGTAGCAGAAATAACAAAGAAGTCGCTCGCTCCTTCTGTCTGTCTCTGTCTGCCACGCGAGAGGCGTTTGTAAGGAAGGTACCTTTCATTGTATCCATCTGTGCATCTAGGTATGTTTTGGCAGGATGGCAAGACCGCAGGGGGTAATAAGATGCCAAAGCCCATCTCAGGCGACAAGGCAATTAATTGACGGGACCCATAATACCTATGGTGATGTGATCTCGGTGAGCTTCAAGGTGACAAGGTGTGCAATTGCCATAGCGATAAAAGCTCACTAATGGAGAAAGGCGATAAGACAACCTACGGATTTACTGGTGGGTTCCAAAGGCATGGTGGATTAGGTAGAGGCCGTGCGTGCGACACCGAGTCGCTGAGTGAGAGTGCGTGGCCCAAAGGCTGCCTGCCCGCCTGTCGGACCCTCAAGGTCAGCAAGAGTGGAAGCTTCCAACACTTTCCACTGCCCTGACGACACCGTCACCACCTGAATCGTAGAGCTTGGGCCAGATTCGACCCCTGGAGCGGTGCCTTACTTAAGCTGCCGAATGCACCGGAGTGCACTTAATCCGCCCCACTCTATGATTTCATTGGTTGTCTGGGGACCATTACCCAGGGATTGCCGCCGCCTCCCGTCACCACACCATCCTGCTCCTGCTGGCTGGCCTTTACCACCTTACCTCCATTACCGCACCTGCCTGCCTCCGAAACAAAGCTTCCCATCTGCAAACCTCCCACCCTATCTCCGCCAACCACGAATTCTTTCCTTCACATCGTAGGAAGGGATATAAACCCAACACAAATCGTCTTTCCTTTCTGCTTTTCTGCCGAAGAGGAAATTCTCCCATTGACAGCTACCCCACACAGCTGACGATCCCCCTTCACACCCATACTCCGACTGCATACGAGTATCCGAATCATCAGAAACAGTCGATCAAGATGGCGCCTCCGTCGGAACAGCCCGCCGAGCACAAGAAGAAGGTCAACTTGATGTGAGTAAACACACATCACTCCTACTTCGTCAAGTAGCTCGCACAAGGAAGGAACCACGCTGACAGTACCTACCAGGGATGCCTCCGGTGCTGAGGTCAAGGATGTTTGTCTCCCCCCCCGAGTCTCGATGCAAACGGATACCGTGACAATCGATCTTGATACTGACTGATCAAACAGCAAGATGACACCGCGACCGCTATTCTCAAGAAGAAGAAGAAGCCCAACCAGCTGATGTACGTGAGCTCTGGGAAACGTGGGGCAAGCTTCATGACGCTAACTGAAGCAGGGTTACCGATGCCGTCAACGACGACAACTCCATCATTGCCCTCTCCGAAAACACCATGGAGACTCTTCAGCTTTTCCGTGGTGACACCGTGCTCGTGCGCGGCAAGAAGAGAAAGGACACCGTTCTGATCGTCCTTGCCGACGATGAGCTGGACGATGGTAGCGCTCGCATCAACAGAGTCGTTCGCCACAACCTGCGGGTAAAGCACGGTGACATGATCACCATCCACCCGTGCCCGGATATCAAATACGTATGTGTCAACAGGACACCGCTTCTCCGAGTACTACTTACTAACTCCCACTGCAGGCCAAGCGCATCGCTGTTCTTCCCATCGCCGACACTGTCGAGGGCATCACCGGCTCTCTCTTCGACGTTTTCCTCGCTCCCTACTTCCGCGAGGCCTACAGACCTGTCCGCCAGGGCGACCTCTTCATCGTGCGCGGTGGTATGAGACAAGTAGAGTTCAAGGTTGTCGAGGTTGACCCCCCCGAATACGGCATCGTCGCACAAGATACCGTCATTCACTGCGAGGGCGAGCCCATCCAGCGTGACGAGGAGGAGGGTAACCTCAACGAGGTTGGCTACGACGACATTGGTGGCTGCAGAAAGCAGATGGCTCAGATTCGCGAGATGGTCGAGCTTCCTCTTCGCCACCCTCAGCTCTTCAAGTCGATCGGTATCAAGCCTCCCCGTGGTGTCCTTCTCTACGGCCCTCCCGGTACCGGTAAGACGTTGATGGCAAGAGCTGTCGCCAACGAGACCGGTGCCTTCTTCTTCCTCATCAACGGTCCCGAGATCATGTCAAAGATGGCTGGTGAATCAGAGTCAAACCTGCGCAAGGCCTTCGAGGAGGCCGAGAAGAACTCTCCCGCCATTATCTTCATCGACGAGATCGACTCTATCGCGCCCAAGCGTGACAAGACCAACGGTGAGGTCGAGCGCCGTGTCGTCTCCCAGCTTCTCACCCTCATGGACGGCATGAAGGCCCGCTCAAACGTTGTCGTCATGGCTGCCACCAACAGACCCAACTCCATCGACCCCGCTCTGCGTCGTTTCGGTCGTTTCGACCGTGAGGTCGACATTGGTATCCCCGACCCTACTGGACGTCTCGAGGTTCTCCAGATCCACACCAAGAACATGAAGCTTGGTGACGATGTCGACCTGGAGCAGATTGCCTCCGAGACTCACGGTTACGTCGGCTCCGATATCGCTGCTCTCTGCTCCGAGGCCGCCATGCAGCAGATTCGTGAGAAGATGGACCTCATTGACCTCGATGAGGACACCATTGACGCCGAGGTCCTCGACTCTCTCGGTGTTACCATGGAGAACTTCCGCTTCGCTCTCGGTGTCTCCAACCCCTCCGCTCTCCGCGAGGTCGCCGTTGTCGAGGTGCCCAACGTTCGCTGGGAGGATATTGGTGGTCTCGAGACCGTCAAGGCCGAACTGCAGGAGAGCGTTCAGTACCCCGTCGACCACCCCGAGAAGTTCCTCAAGTTCGGTCTCTCCCCGTCCCGAGGTGTCCTGTTCTACGGACCCCCCGGTACCGGTAAGACGATGTTGGCCAAGGCCGTCGCCAACGAGTGCGCAGCCAACTTCATCTCCGTCAAGGGACCCGAACTTCTCAGCATGTGGTTCGGTGAGTCTGAGAGCAACATCCGTGACATCTTCGACAAGGCCCGCGCCGCTGCTCCTTGTATCGTGTTCCTCGATGAGTTGGATTCCATTGCCAAGGCTCGTGGTGGTTCCATGGGCGATGCTGGCGGTGCTTCCGACCGTGTTGTCAACCAGCTTCTCACTGGTAAGTTTTTCTCACTTCAGGCCGAAATAAAATGAACATATGCTAATTCTATTGCAGAGATGGACGGTATGACCTCGAAGAAGAACGTCTTCGTCATCGGTGCCACCAACAGACCTGAGCAGCTTGACCCTGCCCTGTGCCGTCCCGGACGTCTGGACTCTCTCATCTACGTGCCCCTGCCCGACCAGCCCGCCCGTGCTGGTATTCTCAAGGCTCAGCTTCGCAAGACCCCTGTCGCCGACGACGTCAACATCGACTTCATTGCTTCCAAGACCCACGGCTTCTCCGGTGCCGATCTTGGCTTCATCACCCAGCGTGCCGTCAAGCTTGCCATCAAGGAGGCCATCACTGCCGACATCCAGAAGACCAAGGCTCGCGAGGCCGCAGGCGAGGAGGCTATGGATGAGGATGAGGAGGACCCTGTCCCCGAGCTTACCAAGCGCCACTTCGAGGAGGCCATGCAAATGGCTCGCCGTTCCGTCAGCGACGTCGAGATTCGCCGCTACGAAGCGTTTGCCCAGCAGATGAAGAACGCTGGCCCTGGCGCGTACTTCAAGTTCCCCGAGGGTGAGGGTGCCGCCAACGAGGCTGGCAACAGCTTCGGTGACGCTGGCAACGATGATGATCTTTACGACTAAGGGATGGATGGGTTAGAGTGCCACTTAATGCAGGCATGCCCGCGTTGTATTCTAGTTTTTCCTTGCTCTCCGATGCATCTGCGTCGTCACGCGTACAGATGATGGGCCGAGTCACAGAAATTCGAGCCTATCGACGGAAATCTGGGTCGGACGGAGTTGGTAGACAGGTAGTTTCCATGATAAGTTGACCAAACCAAGCCTGATTCTCAGACGGTGTGATGTTGCGAGATTCTATGTCTTTGAATCCCTTTAGCTGAGTCCGTTGTGTCGAGGTCGGACTTCACGCCAGCAATGAAGAGGCCCAGCACAAGTTACTTGTGAATGCATGAGATCGAATAGTGCGGAGATCCTTCGATGTCACAGTCTCCCCTTGAGGACCACACTGACGGCCGACTTCCTCCGGCCCGTCCCCGAAAAGCATGACCGCACCGCGCATGGAACTAGGTCCAAGCCTACGGCCTAGCACAAATGGGTTGACCGGTTCATTTTTGCCTCCCTAATTATAGTCGGCTACGTAAAGAATTTGAACCCCGGGTATGCTCATTCCTTCTGCGGAATGAACTCTTCCAAGGATCCGATTTATGTGTACACGCAATGCCTACCTCGGCATTATCTTTATCTGACATCAATGGCTTTTATCATCAACAAGAGCAGTCTGCTCAAACCAGCCAGCGAAGATGTGCTCTGTGAGCACTTCACATCTGGGTGAATCGTCTCGTGAGCATCGCAGTGGCGCTGTTTCCTAACCTCAGACGGCACTCATTTGTTGGTCACCTGTTGTGACCATCTCCTCCCAAGGTCTGCCGCCATAACCTCTTCTCCCCCATCCACGGTGATACCACCTTCTCTGCACCAAACGCACGCCTCCTCATCCTCAGCTGGCACCGTCAATCTCGCAGACAGCCTCTAGGCTTTCTTGTGTGACCTTGATAGCCTCGTCAATAACAGCCGAAGGGATTGCCAGGTTCGGCTGTACACTCGGGTCTGCGCTGGGCGCCGGCGTGGAGGAGGCAGTGCCATTCGTCTTCTTCTCCTTGTCCTTTTCCTTCTCCGACGCTGCGCCATTTGTTTTTGCTGTTGAGGGGGATGCGGTGGAGGGGGCTGAGGGGTCGAGGGTGTCCTGGCGGACGTCGTCGAGGACGCGGCGGAGGAGGTCTGGGAAGGTTGAAACTTCGCCTGTGCGGAGGAGGTTGAGGGCATGGTTCTGGATCAGGGTGGGCCAGTTTGCTTGGTTCGCGTGGAGGGAGTGGAGGAGCTGTTCTTGGATTCTGGAAAGGGAGGAAGAAGGGCGGGACGGTCAGCTTTGCAATGTTCTCCCCCTCAGGGCCCTGTGGGGTTTGGGAAGGATGAAGGGGGGGGGGGCTTACTTTGTGACATGACCGTCCTTAAGCAGTAATGTGTTGATTTGTGATCTCAGCTCTGGATCTAGAGTTGCTGCTGAGTGGTTCGCGGCCGAAGGTGGCACCTTCACAGGGGTTGACGGTGTCTGGCTCATTTTGCTGATCTACCGGCTGTGTATGTGTGTATGATGGTTTCAAGATAGAAATACGCCTGGAGAGCCTTTCGTATTGGAATTCGCAGGCAATTCGTGCTCTGAATTGATATCACCGGTGGGTGGTAAGCTTGGCAGCGGGGGTTGTGGCGTGGAGTGTGGACGATTGATGATGGAGCTGCTAGGTAAGGCAAGTGCTGCGGATGCGGTCGAGTAGAAGCCTGGGATCCGTTATTAGCAGGGAGAATTCATGTTTCAGCATCCAGAGACATACCGATTAAGAGACGCTGAAGCAAGTTTTCGGGTATCGATGTCAAAAGCGCAGTGTCGGTGGTTAATTGAGCATTGTTTGGTCGCAGAAAGTGGTGATCTTGGTGGCAAGGCTGACTTATTTTTTGGAGCCGCCTCCGGGGAAGAGCAGCTGACGGTGCTCACTGGTGCGCAAGGCTGAAATCATGCAGGGGCTTTCTGGTTCTGGCAGGCGGCGGGCACGTGGGGCCGGTCCTGGATTTTGCGACGACGAGCCGCCTAAAACCTGGAGGAGACTGCCACCTGCCGCTGGAGGCCACTCCAGTTTCCATGGAGCAGGAGCACCTCCCCCCCCCCCCCCCCCCTCCACACCAAAGCTGCCGACCCCACTTTCCTTTCTGTCAGAAAAGGAGGGACCCGTCTTCTCCAAAGCTTTTTATCCACCAGACTATCCGTACTTCACCTCCATTGCCAGGATTGAACGACCACCCAACGTCAACCCGAAGCTCATTGGGCTCTGTTCAAATCGCATTCATCCGAACCATCGAGATCCGCTTCGCTTTCGGCAACTTTCCAAGGAGTTGGACGATACTCCATGGGAATTACAAGGCAACCCAGAAACGTGGAGAAGGGATCACCAACATCGTCGACGGAGCATCAGATGCAACTTCAACTTTTATCAATCTCACACTCCGACTCGTTTCCCATCTCATCTGACGGTCACACTCGTTTTCGTGTCCCTAACTCATCTCTCACTTCCGTTTAACAGCTTATTCCGAACACCGAGCCATGGTACCGCCATCGGAGCGGGTGGCCAAGGGCCCGATGACAGCTCATATCTCGTCCGCTTGTCGGTGAAGATCCTTGCTCGATCTTCCAACAAGTCACATAGACTTTGCCTTTCCGCGCACCGCATACACTTTCGAGAGGATATGACCCTAGTAATACCCATGGCAGGCGCACAGCAAGTATCTCACTTGTATCCGTACACCGTCTCCAACATGCATCCAGAAAGTCTGGCAGCTGCTAGGAAGTCCCGAGGCGAGCTCGCCCCGCTCTCGCCGCGGCGGGGCGGGCGGGCGGCGATGTCACAGTCTCCCCTTGAGGACCACACTGACGGCCGACTTCCTCCGGCCCGTCCCCGAAAAGCATGACCGCACCGCGCATGGAACCAGGTCCAAGCCTACGGCCTGGCACCCACTACGGATACATACGCATCGACGCACTACTCTCACGAACCGGGCCTTCCCGCAACGACAATCGCTTCCCGAGAAAGTGTGGCAGGGCTCCCGTCTCTTCCGCCCCCCTTGACCGGGGCCTTGGCCCGCAGAGAAGAAGAGAAGACGTTCTCTGCGGATTGGACGATGAAAAGACGATCCGTTTACGTCTGCTTGGTGAGCGTAGCCGAGCCGGGTGCTGTATCACCCAGCCATGCGAGGCGAGCAGATCACCAACGGTCACGTTGGACCGCGTAGTCGAACCAAAACCTTCGCCGTGGACCGGGGGTCTGGGACTTGCATCTCTGCGGGACGTCCTTTTTCTTTCTTCTTCCCTCTCGGGTATGGTTTCCGGAGGCTGGACGACGTTACTGCAAGGCGAGTCGTAGAGTTGCGTCCGCTCGCTGCGTCGGAGACTCCCCATGTGGAAGTCCACATTGTCGGTCAAGACTCTGACCCGACTCACCGATTCTAGAAGCAAGGGGATTCCCGAACCTGCGTCCGGCTGCACTGCAATTTCTCGGGTTCGCTGGCCCGCTGTCGCTGGCGCTGGTGCCGGCGCAAAGAAGCAAAGCCCTATCTAGAGCCTATGCCATCCCGACATTGCATGACAACCTCTACACCGAGGGCGTGATGGAAGTGTGCGAGCATCTCAAGCGGCATCCATGTGGTGTATTCCCATTCGGCCGGATCGCGGGAGTACAGCCTTCGAGACATGCTTGGATAGAAGTCACAGGACTCTCAGCCAATGCTTCTCCGGATGGCGTTTTCGCTGTCGGGTTCCGTCTACATTGTACTTTGGTCACATCATAGATGCGCGCAGCAATTCATTGCCGTGCTTTCATCTGTAAGGAAGGTTTCCGGGGCAAGGAATCTCACCTCCCGGCTGGGGTCTGAATTGCTTTCCCCCTTCCTTCAGATGCCCTTTTTATTTTTTCCACAACTTGGAGGGCGATTTAACGATAAGAGAAGCAAGTCGGGACCCGTTTTCCTAAACCACCCCAGACAAGCATGTAGTAGTACACCGACCCCCTTCACCGCTACTATCCCGCCATGCAGGTTGATAAAACACCCCCAGCTCCAAGAGCCGAGCCCACGAACGACAACCCCGGCACGGTACTAGGTTACCGTGCCGCGAGAGTCCACTTTGAAAGTCTACTTTCCCCCATCTCGGCGCAGCTAGCCGAATGCAGGCGGGATTCTTGGGAAGGGAGAAGGGTAGCAACGAAATGTGATGGCCGCCGCGGAACCAACTTCCCTGTGGGCCTCCCGTGTACAAGGACTGCAACCACTTCCACGGGATGCCGTTTTTCTGGTTTCCGTCGTATCACACGTATCTCCTTTTTTTAGTTCTTACAACTTTTTTTCTCACTTCTGTTTTCCTGCCCAGTACTTCATAGGCACGAGTGCTTCCCAATCAGCCGTTCTTCCACCGTGAGAAAAAAGCTGGCAGCGCCTATAAGCACCGCATGCTGCAGGGTCTCTTGTGGTGCGGTGACGCGACTGGATGTCGTTCGTGTCGCCGGCAAAAGACCCAATCGGGACCCCTGACTTGTCCAACGTCTTGCTTGGCCGCACCTCTCTTCTCGTCTTACAAGTGACTCCTTTGGGGCCAGGCTGTGGGCCGTGAGATGTTGGACAGAGCAGCGAGAGAAATCCCGTCTACCAGTCTGGTGGTAGTGTGAGATACGACCGAGGTCCCGGAACCGTGAATGTGGGTTTTTTGTCCTCGTCTATGACGGCTTGTTTCGGCAGGCAGTTCGAGTTCTACGCGAAGGGTGTGTATTTCTGTGTAAGCTCTCGATCTTTACGTTGTTTTTTGTATTCTTGGCTCTGCTGTGTGACGGCGGACTTCCCTCCGTCAACATATTCCGTGCGAACGTGACCAGGGAGCCTCACGTCCACGTACATACCTCGTGATATCGCGTGTCGGGACAGGGGCCTAGGATGTTATCAAGCATCACGATTCGATGGCATTGGATGGGAGTACATGTGTATATATTCATCCTCCGGAAGCTGCAGGCGTGACTTGGCGCAGGTTCGAGAAGAACGAACGGTCGAATGTAGTTTTGTCTTTGAATTGACATTCCACGTAGACCGTTCGAGGTCATTGCTCGCGTGCCCCCCTTCACACCTCTTTCGAAGTTCCGAAAGAAACCTATTGGTCCGCGGAAATAGTTTCCAAAATCTCACCTTTGACTTGACTTGTGGGTTCGAAGCTAATGGATTATGGACGAAGTACTCGCTGCTACATTGCCATCCGGTTCAGCTCAGCCGGGGACGTGTCTTCAAACCTTCATCGTTACAGCCACCGCTCCTTCTAGGCATTGCCTCTCTCTCCAACGGCAACTTGTCGCTATTGGGTGTGTGTGTGTGTGTGTGTGTGTGTGTGTGTGTGTGTGTGTGTGTGCCAATGGACGCGGGAGGAGCTGCCGTTGGAGAATGCGCTCCACGATATCAAAGAAAGGAGACTAGCAGTCAAGGAGGACTTGGGACCAGGGAGCCTCAAGTCCTGGACGGATGGCAGTTATTGTCCAAACTGGTGACACGTCGTTGCGATATGCTCTTTAGCGCCCCTCCTCCTCCTCATCCTCCCCTTCCACCCCCAGTCCTACGGAGTAAAGGCAAGGTACTTTGAGAACCCTTGCTTTCGGCTGACGTCTCTAAACAAGATCTGCGAAATGGAAGCTGGAACAAGCGCGGAAGCTCCGACTTGAACAAACCACACCCCTGGCATTGTAGTGTAAGTACGTAGTAGGCACATAGGTAAACTTTGTGACTTGCTGAACAAAAGATCGAAAAACTCTGGAGAATTAAATTGGACTGCCATTCAAGACCCCCTTACCGCCTGCAGTGTATGTATTCTTTCTAGGCTTTCCTCGAATTCCTGCAGCATCTATCTCATCTAGGAGATCGGGAATAAACAGACATCGGTGACGAGAAGGTGACGAGAAGGTGACATCGCAGCTACCCGCTTCCGCTCACCCTCCTCCTTGGCGGGAGGGGGGGCTTGCCCTGGGAAAAGGGTGGCTGGCTGTCAAGATCGTTCTCCTCAGTCCGGCGCTGGATAGCCTAGGCAGGCACCTCTCTCGATGCAGAACATCTCACATATGGACGGAGACATAAGAGCAAGGAAGATAAAGTACGGCACGGCAGAAAGAGAAAAAAGAAAGAAAAGACAAGAAGTCAATGGCATTGTCTCAGATTGTGCCGCTTGCTGGGCATCACCGCCATTTCTCTCCCTGCCAAGACTTTCTTCTTTCTGACAAGCTGTGCTTTGTACTACGTAGTACGCGGGCACGCGGGCAACGCATCTACGTACTAGGTATCCGAGAATCACTTTGCGAAACGATTCGTGTCACCTCAAATGCTGTGACAGCATGTTCCCAACGCGCAAAACCCGCCTTGGCTTTGGCTGCACAGCAGCGGCATTCACCAACGGCGGCGGAAGGCAACCAGTTGCAGGAAAAAAGAAAACGAAAAAAATCAAGATGACCTCGCAGCTTTGTCTGAGTCAGAGCGTCATCAGACTCAACTCGTGCTATTCATGCTTTCAAGCCACTTGTTGCTGTTTGGTGTCAACGTGACGCCCCCCATTCGAGTTCATCCCATGCCCCGCGCAACCATCTCGAAACAG